TATACAGTTCAGTGAATTGTATAGTAACTTCCTTGTTGGGTGTATATACAGTTCAGTGAATTGTATAGTAACTTCCTTGTTTTTAAGCTGACGGGCTTAGAAGAGTTTGCACTGTGGTTCAAGGTGATGCATTAACCTACATGTGAAGCCTGAAACACCTTTTAATTTTATTGGTTATCTTAAAGGACACAAAAGCAGAACTCAGTGAATAGCAACCTTCATTACATAAAACCCCTTCAATTTGACAGAGAAGTAGTGACCCCAAACTAAGAGTGTACCCAATGCTTGTAGTTTTGAGAGTTTACCTCACCTAAAGCCAAGGCATTGCAGGGAAACAGTAAAAGAAGGATCATTTGGGCACTGTAGTAATAAGGTACAAATTACACTGAAATGGCAGGGCAAGAGTGATAAGTATGTATTAAAGAAACAAGGTGAAGCAGCTGTTGGTGAATAATACTGGATATCATTTGGACTTCACTGTTTTGTCTGCATGGGAGAAATCATGATGGCGCTTGTTGTGTTTGCTTCAGCCATGCTTGAGCCTTTCCTTAATAACAGAACCTGGGGAGGGCAAAAGGAAACAACAAAACAAAGCAGCCTTTCCAGCATTGGTCTGAAGATCTGCAGTGCTCTTGAACTTTAACATAGTTTGCAGTGACAAGTGTCTGCAGGCCCACTCAAGTAACTGGTCAGACACCTTAATCGGATTACAAATTTGAAATTTCCACACCCTGGAATGTGTCCAGAGTCCTGCTTCTTATGTGGGAGAAGGAAGGGATACTAATTTCAATTCTTTCTTACTACTTCTCTTCAAAGCTTAGTTCTGATTAGTAGTAGAAATAATTCTATTTGCTGTCTTTCCTTTACTAGTGTTTAGGTCCCCAGCTGTTCACACTTGGTAGTGTAATTAATAAGAGTATCGAAGATCCTCTTTGATAAGACCTTAGTTCTCAAAGACCTTTCATTTATTGCTGGAGTGTGGGAGGATATGTAGAAGAAGACAACTTCCTTCTGCAACATCTGGCTGGGGGAGCAAAAGAAAAGATTTCTGTATTGCTAAAGCCTGTTGTGTTTGATCACCCATCACACACAAACCCTCCCTGAGGTGTTCTTCAGGAAGCTGCAGCCTAGACAGGCTGAGAAAGAGCACACAGGTCAGTGCATGTGTAACATTTACTGATTTTTGAACATTTGACCTTTTTTAAATAATGTGAACTGTCTCTAGCTAAGAATAATAGGTATGATGATTGATCTGGATGCTCCTAATGGTTTGAAGAATACCTTGAAAATTAATGTCTGTCATCTGTATTTTTTTGGATCCATGTGCTTGTCTAAAGACTTACTTCCTGCTGCAGTGTAACACTGTCAAGCAAAAAGCTGCTGCAGTGGATCTCGTGTTTCCAAGTGCTCCAATGTGTTAAAGTAGGTCAGAAGTTGCATAAGATGCCATTACTGGAAACTGCTGTAGGCTGACTTGCATATAACAACTCAGCAGTGCAACTAGCAAATGCACTCTGACAAACAGAAATGCAGCCACGGCTTAAAACATGACAAGAGAGCTCTCCGAAATCTCCCTAGGACATGAATGGCTGTGGAATTGCGAGATGTCTTTGCCCCTTCAGTTCGTGTCCCTGCTATCTGCTGAGCCAGAGCTGCCTGCCTGGCTTGTCAGGGGTTTCACATTGTTCTTGTCTGCAGGGAGCTCAGGCGCACGACTCCAAACTCCTTTGCGAGAGATGCACTCTGTGTTTCCCTGCTTACCGAGCTCCTCTTGAGAGCAAACAGACACGGTACTCTGAAAGTCGTGTAGAGTTAATCTGTAATAGCTCTTCCTCTGACTGAATGGTTGCTGGTGATTAGTAATGGCCAGTGGGCGTCTGTGGGGGGAAGTGCACAAGTCTCTGCAGTTTCTGCAGGCAGGATCGGCCACTGCTGTTCAGTTTAACACCAACGTGCTGGGGGAGCACTGAGCAGGACACAGTACTGGCATTTTCCCTCTTTTTTGGGACTGTTTCATAACTTCAGCACATTCCCAGGTATTCAATTCATGCAGTATTTTACCCTCTTTACAGAGTTACAAAAACGTGTAAATGGGAAGGAAAATAAATTCTGGAAGTACTTAGTATCACCTTCTGTGTGCCTGCTTGTTCTGCTGGATGTGCCTCCTGTGCCCATGGAGCCAGACTTGCTTGGTTAGGAATGTCTGTTGGCCCACTCTGTTCTATGCCCTTGTACTTCACTACATTTTCAGGTTTTTTATCTTTTAGGAGTCTGAACACTGGTAAGGGCAGTCTCTTGTATTCTTTTTTTTCTTGCTACTGGTATTTTCATATCAGCTTTTTCTAACGCGAGTTTAACTAGCTGAATAGAAAAGAAAACTCCTACTTGGGAAGGGATTATTTCATTAGTAATCAGAGTGGAGTACATCTTAGCTGCAATTATCTTTTAAAATTATTTTTATATTTTTAATTATCTTTTAGTGCAGTGTATTTTTTTACTTGTGAACAGTTTATTAGTCAGAAAACGTACTGCTTGGTGGATGTATTTTTCCAAAAGTTTGAAATAGGGGTACTCGTTAATTAATTAATGTCTGGCAAGAATTCTTTGAACTGTGCAGTTATTTCTGAAAAATCTTCAGCAGCCAGGGCTGCTTTATTTCCTGGAATTGTTGCATCTCCAGTGGTATATATACCCATCTGTCATTGTGCCAATCACCCATTTCCTATAGATAAGTAGATGGCTCAGTACCAGCCATGTCAGGAACACACAGTTGGACAGTTAGATGGGCTGGAAGGGTCTTCAGTTAATGTACAAACCTCATCAGGTCTTGGCCAGTGCAAAAGCTTCTGCTCCTCATTTTGCTGCTCAAAGGCCAACAAATACTGGTCTGATAAGTGCTCTGATATAGTTGACTCAGTCATTTGGCAATGGACCCCAGACAGAACAACTCTATCACATTCAATCTTAATTTAATAGTCTTAATATATTGCCTGCTGACAGAAAACGGTAGGTAGGAGCTTGGCAGAACATGAAATAAAAGTTTGTAAGCCTGGATAGAATGTTTAGAACTTGGCTTTAGTCATGCTAATGAGGTGATAAGAAAATATCAAAGGTGAGAAGACTTGAAAGTAATAACAATAAAAATCCTGGGCTTTCCCCGGGCTTACATCAGCCTGGCCAGCCTGACTGCAAACAGCCAGCAGCTGCATTAATTTACATCTCACACAAACGTACCTTATTAGCAATAGGTATAGCAGCTGCTTCTACAATTTGGTTAATTTAGTATTAATAATACTTAATGACTTTGTTATGGTAATGTGGAAATGTTATCTTTGTGTTAAGATGATGATAATTTTTTAAAAAAAGTGCTTTGCATCTTTTTCCGTCTTGAAGGTTTTGTCTGCAGATTCTCTAGAGCTGTTTGTATTTTTTTCTCTCCAAGAACAGTTAAGGATTTTCACCTTCAGAGATTTGCTTTTCCCCAATTAATACCATACAGATTTCACACACTTCATATTAATGTTTTCTTCCAGTCATGATTACTCTGTATTAGTGATCATATGTTCAGAATTTTGAAGTAACAATCTTTTGGTAAGAGGTCACTTTTTTTAAGGCAGTGGCTCCGTCAATCTAGTCAGAGAGTCCATAAAAAGACTAATAGCTGGACAAGTCCCCAGCACTGCTGTGGAGGGCTTTAAAAGAAGAGTTGGTCGAACCATCTGTGAGAAACTGTTGGTTACTGGCCACTTTTTTTCTTAATTATTTTTAAATAAAACTAGGCTCTCAATTTTAAAAGCTGGACAGTGATGACCTACAGCATGCTTCAGGCTCTGGAATTTCCTATAAAAGTCCTAAATTCTGATGGAGGGTTTGCAATGTGCCTTGTGAGAGTGGGTCATGGCAGCCAGGCCCAGCTCCCGAGGGTGTCTGTGCCTCTGTGTGCAGGAGGGAGCAGGAGGGGATCCTCGGGAGAGGAGGGTTCATCTGAGCCATCTCCAAACCAGCTGGGGCTCTGGCACTGGGGTCTCTTGCTGCAGCACCACGGGCTGGTGCTCAGAGGTTCCCTTGCGTGAAGGGGTGTTTCCCGTCAAGCTCTAATTCCAAACTCCTCAAAAATCAGGAGTGCTTATAGAAAGGTGGATTTAGCTGCTGTTTGCCTCCAAGTTCTCAGTCTGTTCAGGCCCCTTGGAGGAGGGTTCTATGCCCCATTTCCTTTGGCCGGAGCCGCCCCTGCGGCCGGTACCGGCTGAGTGGCGAGCGCGGGCCCCTCAGGGGCGGGCGGAGCGCGGGTACGGCGGGAGGGACGGGGACAGGGACGGGGACAGGGACGGGGACGGGGGCTCCCACCGCCGCCCTCGTCGGGCCGGCGCCTCAGCGAGGGTGTGAGGGCGGTGCAGGGCCCGGCGGTGCCGCCTGGGCTCGGCCCGCAGGGTCCGTGGGGCCGGGCGGGGAAGGCGCTCGGAACCTGCGCGGGTCGGTGGTGCCGCGGGTGAGGGCGCAGGAGGAGACCCTGCCTGTGGGAAACGGGAGCGAAAACCGCCCTGCCACCGGCAGGACAGCGGCGGCCGCCGTGCCTCTGCTCTGGGGCTGTGAGTTGCCTTTCACCCTGCCGTGGGTGAGCTGGGCTGGCTGGGGCGTTCACACCCTGCCTTACCTTGCAGGGACTTGTCGTGGTCCGTGCCCTCAGCCTGGGCCTGCGCTGAGAGCTCTGCGTGCTCTTTGAATTTCACTCTGCAAAGCCGGAGGCAGGAATTGTACACAGGTCAATGCTAGGACATGGTCGTGGGCTTTACTCGTTTGAAATGGTTTTTAACTGCTGAATGTGCCAAGACATTTATGTCCTTGTGGTGCTTATTTATTAAAAATAACTATCTTACTTGTGCCAGCAGCTGCTGTAAAAAATGCAGTCTGCTGCTTTAACATAATATGGTGTTAAATGGAATTTCTGTTATTTAATATTTGAAAACTATTGTTCAGATAATGGTGATAGATTAGTTAAATCTAATATTTGTATGTTGTCATTGCTGCATAATGTGAACTTTAATGTCAAGATGATGAAAACTTGGGTTAGCAATGGTCATTTGAACCAAAGGAGGATATTGGTTGTGTAGTTTCATGTCTTGCAAAATGGTGCTTAGATAATTTTGTCATTTTGTGGCTCTGTTTGCTGCCTTATGCTGAAGAACACACACCCTTCTGTTTGCCTACTTCTTCCTTTTGTTGTCATCTCATTGTTGCAGGCTTTTATATCACTTCCTGCTCGGCTCTGCCTGGGACAATGGTTTTCAGTTTTTTAATGGGTCTGTGAGTTCTCTCAGTGGCTGCTGAGGGATTCTTGAAACGTTACAAAACCAAGCCTGCAGTGGGTTATCCGGGGGCAGCTGTAGGACCCAGCAGGCAGCAATGCAAACCCTTCAACAACGTGCAGGTTTTTTTAGCCATTGTGACAGAGGAGTTCTGTGAAATGTATAGGAAAGTTTCTTCTGTTTTGTTACCCCTGAACAGTGGTTTCAGCATGGGGACAGTCCCACGGACACGAGGTTTTTCAGCCTTTTCAATACTTTACAGTCAGAGCAGCAGAACAGGGTTTGGTGTTAGGCAGGACCCCCAGAGCAGAGCCAGGTCCCTCCCAGGCAGGCGAAGGACGGTGCTGGAGCTGAGCTGCGTTCAGGAGCAACCTACACGGATCACAGGGAGCCAGGGACAGCACTCGTGACAGGGCACTGTGACAGTGAAGTATTGTTCACATCGATCTCCTATCCTACACTTGGGGTTGAGACAAAGTTTAATGAATAATAAACCTACACAATTTGGGGGGGGGGTCTGAATATTTTGAGATATTTTTGCTTTATAACAGAATGTGTGGAATTCAGCAAGATACAATTTTAAAGAGTGTTATTTTTAACCAGGAAAAATACTTGTTGTAGCACAGAATAGCACTTGATGCTGCAGCAGTTGTCTGGTTGGACAGTCAAACAAATTCTAACCAAAAGCATTTGTAATTTCAGAGAGTGTTATTTGCAGACTCCTCCATTCTTAGGGATCCATGCTGAGTACTTCTTCCTTAGAAGAAGAAAGATGAAAAGAGCTTTTATGCTCTCAATTCTCTCAGTTGCTGTGTTGGGTTCTTGGGGAGGAGATCCCCAGGTGAAAACAAAGCACAAAGAAATAATGTAGCTTACCACAAAAACCTCTCCTTTTAGGTTCTTTAGAGGAGAATATTCCAAGCAGCTTCACCATCAGTTTAATGTTTCAGAATCATTCTGGTAGCAACTTATTCAGTGCTGACACAAAAGAAGGTACGGATTCTTAAACTTTTTTTTTTTAATAAGCATAAATAAGTCATAAATATCTCAATTGCTGAGATAAAGATTGTATCCTCTCATCTCTTCAGTTTCTTTCCTATGAAAAAGACACTGCAGGAGTTTTTAGCTAGTTATTTGCCAAATCTGTTAATGAAAATGCCTTCCCAAATATACCAATGCATTTCGGTGAAAGGGGCCTGTGATAGTTTGTGTTTATTACAGAAGAATGAACTCATGGTTTTGCAAGTCTTCTGCTATTGTCTTTAACCTTTACTTTCAGCTGGTTTGAGTTTAAGAATAGTGAGTCGTGGGTCTTCTGTGCACATGGGGAAAAACAAGCACTGTGACATTACTCGGTGTTTTCATGTTCGGCAGAGCTGGAAAACCAACACAGAGGATGAAGAGGAACTGTATTTAATGCTACTTAAATTAGTCTGATTTGGATTCTTGCTAACAAAATATGAGGAAAGGGTTTAGAAGGATGTAAGTTCAGTCTATAGGTGTTTGAAGGGTGTTCACAGGATTTGGCCTGAGACATGGGGAGCACCCAGAGGACTGGAGTACAGCGTGCTGAGGAAACACTGTTCCATAGGAAGAGTGAAGCCTGTGTGAAATGTGCCTTCAGCTGGACATGGAAACTGCTGAGCTGTTTCTGAGGTACTTAGAATGCTCTTAGACTGGGTGCTTATCTTGAATAGACAGGGACAATAATATCCTTAAGAATTTTGTGAGTTATCAAAATGGAACAATTTCCAAAGTCTGGCATCTCTCCCTGGATAATGAACCTATTGAGGATGCAATTGCTAGATTTTGATATTTATTTCAAAACCAAAGCATGCAATATTTCCTATGTGAAATAGGGTGTTTTTTTTTTTTTTTTTATAAGGTACATACTGTCAGCATTAACCTTGTGCAACCTTTTTCTGCAGTGTTTTTCTCAAAAACAAGCCCAATCCTGTTGCCTTGAAAGTCTTTTATTTGGTTCTTCTACAGTTAAGCTTTACATTTCTGTTCACAGACAACTGGATGTTTTTCTCCAAAGCACGCACAACTTTCACCTCAGTTAGACTGTCTGCTCCCCACCCCCATTTTGCAATGTACAATTCCCACTTGCAGCATTTTCAGTAAACATGGGATCAATTGAGTATACAGAAAAAGCTTCTATAAAATTTCCATTAAAAAAATAACAAGTTTTTATTTACAATGTGTTTTCTACTACAAAGTAATATTTCCTATTGGTTCAAATATACTATTTGCTAATGCCAGTGTTCCTATTAGGAAAGTAAAACTCCGTATATGCATTTCTCTTTATATCTTTATCAGTGTTTAAAGCACATAAAATACTACCACATTTTTTTTACACTACTCCTAGCCATGTACAATGTGGTAGTAGAAATTAACACTATTTGATCAGGACAAAAAAAATCAGCATAGCTTAATAGCAGACTTTCTGCAAAAATAAAACTTTAGCTTATAATTTATAGGTATTTGCAAAGAAAGAAATCTATGGAGAATTGAAAAATTAAAATGAATGGGCAACTTGGACTTTCCTGAAGTCACTGGAGTTTAATACAAGAAAAGGAAGAAAAATTTCCACCGAAGGGTTCATGTGATGCTTTGTGTTGGGAGAGGGGGAGAGCAAGATGAGTAGATTAGAAAATAATTAGAATTTCAAATCTCAAGTAGTTAGCATCCTTATATTGGAGTTGTCTCTTCCCACCCACCACGTTTACAAACCCTACTTTGAGTTCAGTGTTGAAGGAGGTCATAAAATAGCTTTGTCCATGGCTGGCCTCATTCTTAAAAAAAAAAAAAATAAGTTTTATTTAATTAAAAATTTAATGGACTTTCAAGTGGTTTCTCCATTTAAACATAAAAAGGAAGCATCTCTACAACTCACTTCCATGTAGAATACAGTGGATATTAAAAAGTGCTCCTGTCGGGGGGCGGAGGGACGGCCCTGCCTTTTGCATGTTGCAGCAGCTCCGGAACAGGGGCTGAGGGCACAGGAGCATTCCCTCATTGCCAGGGCACTCAGCGACTGCCAGAGCACCCCCACTGCCAACAGACAGACTGGTGCAAAGCTGTGCCTGTACTTGCTGCTTACTCCTGATGCCATGTAGGATATGCAAACACAGAGGCTGCTGCCTTGGTCCCGGGGCATTGTTTGCAGTCAGGGCCTGAGGAACAAGGACAAACTCATACCCTACTTCTTACAGGTTTGCTCAAAGTAGGATTAACTTTTTCACAGTAGGTGCTTGTGAGATACAGTGTCATAACATTTGCATATACTTCTCTGAAGTATTTCTCATATATACAGCCTGGCCTTTAAGACAAGGGAATGTGCCAGAAACTTGTATGCTGGGTTGTGATTCAGCTGGTGTTTTCCTGGGGAAATTCTGGGAGATCCACTTAATCCCTGCATTAGCACAACCAACTCTACTAATTGTTAAAGCTACATTAGCAATTTAACAAACCCACTAAAAAGCCTGGAGAGTGATTTTGTGGACTTCCTATTTTCTGATCAATGTTTTAACTTTTGTGGCTGTGACCTGAAAATGTCATCAGGAAGGGCTGTGGATATGGTGTTTTTCCCTCTTGCTGCCTGCCTTGTATGGGGGAGCCATTGCTGCTTCATGGACAGCACAAGAGCCAGGCAGTGCTGGGGATGGATGTCTCTGTTTCACTCAGCCTGGATAATGAGAAGAGGCTAAACCAACTCACTGTTAAAGACTCATTTTTGTCTCAGAAAAAGTTTCTGCATAGATGAGTTTGATTTGCATCTCCAACTGGATGTAAATTTTACATAGCTGTATCCTGCTATCCCATGGTGTCCATATATCTGAAGTGTCTGTGCCTGGAGAGTGTTGAGTACTTAAGAATGGCATTTAGAGAAGTCAGAAGGTTTAAGTAATTTCCACTTATTCTAGCCAATACAGAATATTAAGAAGAGGTGCAAGTTTGGGCTACTGGGAGGTTCCAGTATCTGCTAGGAATTATGGCCCTGAACCAGGTTAGTCTGCTTTCCTTCTTAGATAAATGAAGATGTATTTATCTGTTCCATATTGTTCCAAAGCAGGAGGCTTTCTCCTGGGATTTGGATGGTTAGATCTCGGATGTTACTTCTGCCCAAATCTGAGCAAGGGTTTTTGGTGGTCCTGCAGCTTATGTGGATGTCCTAAATGTTGGATTCTTGGGTGCTGTCAAAAATATGGAAGCAGAAAGAAAACATTTTGGTTTTGGCTGCTCTCTGGGGTAGCCAGACAAGGTGGGAGTATGAAAGGTGTGAAGTGAGTGTGGAGTCTCTGAACAGCTGCGATCAACAGCCCCTGCAGTTGTTACTGTTGGGCTGTTTTAATGAGCATTCCCTCCCCTCACTGGCAGTGCCAGCTGGGTGAGGGATCCAGGGATACCAACTCAGGCAATCAGGTTGGAGGAGCTGGCAGGTTTTTGTAGTTGCAGCTCTACAGTGACTTGAAAGGATGGTAATCCTTAGCAGATAGAATGAACAACATTAGTTGTGGGTATTTTCTTGGCAATATACCTGGATCCAGGGGAGCAGAGTTGCTCACAGCCTCTTAAAAACACTCACCAGACTAAATTCTAACAGCTAAATAGGAAAAAGATAATCTGATTTGGGAACTTTGTTAAGTCTAAGGAATGAGAGCTTCAGGAAGTTTTATGGTATCAGGACTGGGTTATGTGAGCACCTGCCAGCAGAAAATTAACTATTTAGAGCTGTTCACATGCTCGGGTAGGTGTGTGATGGCCACAAATTCCAAATGATTCATTGGTGTATTGCTTGTAGACATAGGTCAGGATTCAAGGAACATATTCTAAAGAACAAACCCTCCATAAACAGGTCCTTAACCTTCCCCTGTTCCCCAGTAATGCTGCCAGAGGTACTGCTGAAGCACCTTCAGCCAAGGAGGCTGAAGCAGAAGGATGTCACCTCAAAGTATGGCTAACACTAGAATTTTGTAAATCACAAATTAAAAAAGCTCATGTAGTCTTTCCCCAGCTTCATTACATCTGGCTATTTAATATACACTGATGTCCCTGAGAGATTCTTGTAATGAAAATGAGGTGCATCAGGCAGAAAATAACTTGTTTTGGTCTGTCTTCTTTGTAGTATACCCTGTGGTTACTGGCTTTGTTTTAAATGAAACCAAACCCCAAACATCTTTAGCTCACTATTCTCAATCAACTGCCTGGATTATTTTCAGCTGAAAAGGGCCAGTTAATTATAAAAAGGATTATTGCCCAGAGTTCAAATGTAGTTAAGTTTTATCCATTCTCTTGAATTAAAATGGTGGATGTGGTCAGAAAAAAGAGAATTTGAGATTTAAAACCTTAAATGTGGAATTCTAAATTAAAGCAGCATTTCATTTATGAACTTGAAGGTCTTAGGGCTTTTTACATAATGTTACTCCAGGCTCATGTTGATCAGCAAAAGTCCTTCTGTGGGAATTCTTTGTATTCAGCAATTTCCAGCTGCTCAAAAGGATTAGGGGTATTTACAAGCTGTAGTTTAAAAAACTAAAGCCCTTAAACAAAATGGAAACATCTCCAGTGTGGATTGTGCTGGCTTTAATGACATTAGTCATTTAAGTCATACCTTCAGTTAAACTGGTATCATTTGCTTAGATACACACACTTTCTGAGATGAGGTGGATTGTTGCCAATAATTCCAGTGTTAAAATGAGAAGGACTTTAATACAATTTTAAGAACCAAAATCCACAAACATTATGTCAGATTTCCACATAACAGAAAAATGCTGTCTCCTACTCATATTTTTTCCTCTAGTTAGTGGAGCTTACAAGTTTTTCTAAGTCAAATTTAGATTTCTCAAGCACCACAGAGTAAGTCCAGGAATAAAGCTGTTTACTGCAATATAACTGCAAATGCATTTACATGCAGCATTACACTGCTTGCAGCCAAGTGCCTCCTGAATGTATAACCAAGAGGGTGTTCCAAGACACAGGAACATGTCACTTAAACAGAAGCTGCATGACAATTGAAATGTTAACCTTTTCTTACCAGAGATATCATCTAGTACTAGTTGCTGCTTGTTTCCTATCGATGAGTGCCAGGGGTATGGCATGAGACAGGAGAGGATGATGGTAACTGAACAGAAAATGGGAAAACCAGTCTTGCTCATGACCATTTTATTCTGGAAAGTGCTGCTGGCTCTCAGGGGAGGGAGGGCCTGTGTGTTGAAGCAGCTGAGCACAACCACTGCCACGAGCTGCGTGGGAGCTGTGTGGTGAGCTAATATTCTCACCCCCCTTGTTACTCACAATTGCTCAGTGCTCAAATCAGATACAACACCTGCATTTTGTGAGGTCCTGCATTTACCTATGTTGGTTTGTGGGTTTTGTGTGTGTGTTTTGTTTCTTTTTAAAATATGTCAGCTAAGATCAACAGGAATGACTGAAAGGCTTGTCTGAGATCATACATGAGTGACTATGGCTGGATAAGGCCCAAAATTCTCCTAGTTCCCAGACTTCAGTGTAGCCACAAGACCACAGTGCTTTAGTTGAACTTCATCCTCTACTGGAACTTGGCACAAGGAAGCCCAAGGAAAGAATTTACTTTTGAAGTCTCTTCTAAATGTTGTAACTTGTTTTGTCCTTTGTATTCAACTAGTCCAAGAAAAATAACTTCTAAAGATTTGGTTCAACTGTCTAAATGATTGTTATGTGCTCCTAGATTTTTTTATATTTTATCTTTTGATAGCTTGAGGTTTGCCAGAAAGCAAGTAGCTGTGCAGTCTGCTGCTTTGAAGGGCACAGACATCAGTGGAAGAAAGGTATCATTTCAGATCCTCCTCCCGTAAAGCAGAAAGCACACTGACTGCTAATAAAATACATTCCATTTCTGGGCAGGAAGCCTTTTTTTCCCAGGTTCTTATAGTTCAAAGTGCTGCTCTTTAGGATCTGTTTAGTGTTTTGTTGTTTTTAGTTTTTACACAGATCTTGAGTGGGAAGTGTGAATTAAGTGTAAAGTTAAATGTGCCCCTAATGTATTGCTGAGGGATAATTATTTAGAAGATGTTTCTCTTTAAGAGTTCCTTAGGATCCTGCATAAAGGTATCTTTGATCTGCCCTCTCCAATGAAAGCTGACTGACAGTGCAGTTTTTGAAAAAGCAATGGGTTTATAAGAATAAAAGTGATTATCTGTTTAAATGAGATGTCATTCATGAAGCTGCAAATTCCATAATAACATGCCTGGAGTACCTGTTCTCTCCTCCTCCTATTTCCAAAGTGAGCTGCTTAGCTCAGGTGCATTGACTCTCTCAGCAAGAATATTACTTTGTGTTTGTAAAGCTTTCCTTGGTACAGAGGTAGTGCTACAGATTTGGTCAAAGTGAGGTGGTGTAAAGCCCTCAGTCTGCTCTTGCCTGTGAGCCATGAGCACAGGATAGTCTTAACAGTCTTGCCCAGAGGGTGAATAACATGGTAGGCATACAGGAATTCTTTTAATTTGTGCATTTGTAACTGAGCTGTGTAAGCTAGAGAGCTCTACTTGCTCAGCCAAGAGCTGTACTTACATACTGGTGCTGCCCTAACTACCTCAAGTGCAGGAGTTTGAACTATCTGTGAAAAGTTTCCGGATGCTTTAGTTTTTAATGTAAACATGCAGATGTGCTTGTCTGCTCCTTGCAGTTTTGCCTGTCCTGGGTGCAGCTGGTCCTGTGCTGCCTCCTGGTCACAGCCAGGCAGCTCAGGAGCTGGAGCCTCATTTTCTCTGTGCAGCTCAGGCTTGGTGCTTTTGGCCTGAGTGCAGGTCTGGCTGTAAGAGGTGAGTGGGCACAGCCCCTGCCGGGAGAGTCCCCGGGGGCGCAATTGCTGTCAGTGCTCAGGCAGGAACAGAGGGATGAGCTGCCTCCTCTCCCAACATAGTAACATTGCTGAGACAACTATTACATACAGTATAAAAACTGGAAAGAAGTAACACTATTTTAAACTGCATTTACCTAATTAAAAATAGTTAATTTCTAGACTAGTTAAAAGCCTGGATGTTAGACCACCACGAGAAGAGTACATCTGCAGTGTATTGTGCACTGATATTGAAGTGGTTTTTTTTTAAAAAAAGGCCTTTATGATTGGATGTGATGTTAGCTATGGAACACACAGCCTCCTGCTGCAAGTCTTATTCAACAGTTCAGATGGGACTCGTGTTGTGTAACTTGAGGCACAGATTATTTGAAGTGGTTTGATAAAATTTTCAAAGGCGCATCAAGGTGAGTGCAACAGAAGTTAATGATAAGACAGTTCTTCTGTCATACAGAATCCAAGCTGACTGGAATGCAAAACATGAAATGACATATTGTTGAAATTTTATTTTCTTCCTAAGAACCTCAGCCTATGACTTTAAAAAAAGTTATGTGACCTACCCAGCCCACATTTGAAAGCACTGCCTTGAAAACACGCTGCCTGAGAGCCTTAACATGGTGGGAGGCTTTTTTGAAAAAAATCCAACACATGCTCTAACATCAAAGGGATTATATAAAGTTAGAACAGTAAAGAAGAAGCTACACTGGATACATTGTAATCTAGAAATACAATTTTTTTTACTTGTTTTCCTTAAAAAAGCTGGTGCAGAGAATACTGGATTTTTCCTGACTGTTTTAATAATGGCTAAGAATATTCACTTATTTATAATAAATTAGATCTGCAGTATAAATGAACATACGAACCTTTTATACTGTTACTTTTAGAGTATCTAAAATGGATTTAAACTATTTCAAGATCCATTTAATCACTTGCAATTTGTATTACTTTAAGAATCTTCTATACAGCAAGTTGAACAGAAAAAAAGCAAACATTTTAGCAGCCCCTTTTCCCTATAACCATTTTCATATAAGATAGTTTTAAATAGCTTTTTTAACGCATTTGCATGTGCTCTTCCTCCCCCTTTTTCTAAAGGCAGCACAGCCAAAAGACAATGCAAGAATTGGCATTTGCTGACTCACTCCGTTTTCTTCTCCATCTGGTAAAGACAAGGGGAAGACAGAGACTTAAGTCCCAAAATGGAAAAGGTAAACTTGGGGTTTGCTTTGCCAAATCTCTGAGAACTTTGTTCTTTTCCTCGGTTTTAGCTGATAAAACCCATTTTGCTCTGTCTCTACATGTCACTCTGTGTTCAGTTACAAAAAGTTTTTCAGTTATGAATAAGTTGATTTTGAAGCGTCCATTTTGCTTCACTGAACACAGTGCAAAACAAGGCAAGAAACCAGTAAAATCCAAACAGGAACTCCCATTAAGAACATTTGAGCAGCATTTTGTATATTCCATTTTCTACTCTCCTCATTCTGGGGAGGAAGAATCCTCATCTTCATCCTCTTCATCTTCATCGTTGAAGGAGCAGGGCGTTTCCCCGCGGGACGCTGCGCTGCTGGACTGCTGACTGCTCAGGGCAATGAGCTGCCCAGTTGCTAAGGCCACTTCAGCATCCAGACACAACCCTGCATTCTCACTATCAAAACAACAGAAATGGTCAAGTTTAGAGGGTTTCTCATGAGGTTTTAAGCCTTCTTTTTTGGCCTCAGCTTTTCCTTTAGTCAAAGAAATGCTGCCAACAAGGAAAAATCCAGAAGTGATACAGTGAAAACTGATAAACCATTGCAAAGTTGCATAGAAAAGATTATTGAGTCACTTTTTTTTTCCCATAAACAACTAGAATTGCTCAAGCTGAAGAAATATTAAAGAAGAAACCCATCAGTTTAGTCAATGCATGAAGTGCAATGTGAAATGAAGCTATTAAAGCTGTAATGAAGAACCTGTTCCAGAATAATCCTTATCTCCATTTTTTATGGTACAGGTAACCTCCAAGCAAAGTATGGCTGTTGAGATGTATTTTGGATTGGGTTTTTACTGGTAGTGGTTTTTTTGTTTGGTTGTTTGTTTTTAATTTTAAATTATTACTAGACTTTGTGGACTAAACTTGTTTTGTGAGAGCTTAAGCAGTAGTGCATTTAGACACCAAACATTCTTTTGCATTCTGCAGAAATATTAACAGCCTTATATCCACATGTAATTACCTATTTGTAGGCCATGCCCAGGCAGGAATTTAAGGTTAATCAAGAAAAAGGGCTCAAAGTGATTCTATTCTTAAGAAACATAGCTGGTATGTTCAAAATTCAAAGCATTTTGATTTGACCTTTCAAATATAATTATCAAGGAAGACAGAATTAGAGACTTTTTCACAATCAAAATCAACCATAATAAGAAAACATCTCAATTCATTCAGGAAAGTGGTATGAAACAGGAGGTTACTGAAAGTACCACACGCATATATAACTACCCTTGAATAAAAAATTATTTCATTTACCTTGATTTAGCATTGCAAGTGCCTCCAGCTGCCTCTAAGTGTGAAACTACTTGTGCTGAACTTGAAAGTAACCCTTGGTTTATCCATGAAAATCCTGCAGACATATCTACAAGAAAGCATAACTGTGTTTATGATAGCTACTTAAATTTTTTTCTTCCTTTTACAATCTTAAACTTTGCAGTTAGGATTCCATAGTTTAGTTTAGAAGGTACCAGTAGCTCAAGTTGGTTTTATACTGTAGATGTGTCCTAGTTAATCAAGATGAACTTAACGCCTGTGTTTGTGGATGAACTCAAGCCTTGCATTGTTCCCCCCTCACAGTTATGCCTATTTCTCTGAAGCTTTTCCCCCTGTCTGAAGAGGATTCACCTGGCTGGCAGCCATATGGAGTCACAGGTACTGAAACAGGAGTTCTGGAGTCCTTCATGGGGACTTTCTGCTACAGACCAAGCCTATGAAATGCCCCAACAGCTCCTGCTCTGCTTGGTGAAGTTCAACTGCAACTGTATTTATTGGGCAGAGGTGCTGCAGTCACCCAGGTGGGCTCTGTGTTGGCTGTGTGTGTTCTGGGGCCAAAGGCAGTTTCATCCTGGTGCCCTCCTGGCTGGCTGTGGTGCAGAAATGTTACCTAATCCTAATCCCTCTGCCACAGACAGAGCTGGCTGTGGAAAGCACAGACCATGGCAAAGGTCTTGTGCCAAAAGTAGGGAAGAGAAAGCCTGTTGTACATTGTATGTGTGACATGTAAGGCTGTCTCCTCTCGGGGGATAGGAAGTGTTAGGGTTAAAACCATTAAAATGGTCTTGCAATAATGCTGAATTTCTTCAGGTAATTTGTTAAAAGCCCCCTGAGGGCCCTGAACAGGTAACTTACAACCCTCATAGCACTTGTTTTCAAATTCCCTAACAAGTAATACCTGTCAGTTGTTTCCAATTACACACATTTCTGCCAAGAGAATCAGCAAAACAAGTCCATTGACCCAATTACACTTGTGGGATTTTTTTTGGGGGGGGAGGTTGTTTTTGTTTCTTAGATAAGGTATTTCTATTGACCTGCCCAAATTCCATCTAAACACAGAGTTAACATCAAAACAGTTACCAAGACTGTCTAGTTCTTTTCCATGGTGCTTGCATGTGGTTCCAGCTGGATGCATTAACCAGGAGTCAGAGTCCTTACTATTAATTCTATTCCTAACAAAACGTCTGTTCTTTACAGCACAGTGGGACTGTACTGCTCATATTTATCTGGAATTGTTCTCTAAGAGCAGGTAAGAGGAATAATTAAATGTGTTTGTTACATACACGTCCTCATTTGTCCTTCTACATTCTTGTTAGGCTTTGGTTCCTTGGGATTTGGCAGTGTGCTGCCTAGGACAGGCAGACACAGCCCTGTAAAACTGGCTCACCACGTACTGGGATGGATCCACAGGCTACCTTGTGCTGTGGAAACCTGTTAGCAGCTGGGTATTAATGACATGTCACAAAGCAAGGCTAGCAAGAGTGGTGTCCCTGCCAGCAGCCCTTGGAACGTGACAGCAAACATTAATAAGTGGCAGTTTTAGGGTGATCTATGGAGGACAGAATAGATGAGGATAGTTAAATGTGGACATAGCTGGATGGCTTTCACTAAGATTGCCCTAAATGTAGGTTTGATGTTACAGAGAACATGTTCTGACAGCTTCCTCCTATCTTTGCAGGAGGAGGCTAAGCCATTTGGAATGACTGCATTGTATTTAGATTAACAGAGATGTATCACAGTGTTGTTTCCTGGTATTATGAAGGAGTGTACCTGTGTGTACATGCTTAATATTCCAGAAGAATAACAAGACACTGCTAGTAATCTTGTGGTTTATTAACATTTTTGGATAAGAGCAAGGTAAAAGAAAGTGTGGCTTTTGCACAAGGCAGAAAGGTCGTTCATAGATGCACATCCCTGCCTTGTATTTTCATTGCCTTACATTTCTAAATTCTATTTTTCAGTGGGCTCTGGGGAGCCAGGGAAAAAAGGAAGTTTGTGAAAGACAGGGAGTTGAAGCCATTTCCAGTATAGAAAAGTCTGTCACAATAGAAATCTGCCTACAAGGAAAGACTTATTTCTTCTAGCAGAGTGGATCAATTACTAATAGCTCCACTTAGGAACCAGGGAAAGCAGCTTGAAAAAACCTTCCTGAAGTCCAGTCTAAGAGTGGCATTCTTATTCTGAACTAGGCATATCTTGCAGCAGATACCCTTGGTAGAAATTTGTGCTTTCCATGAGAAGGCTCTAAAGCAATACTCTGAGCAGCTTTAGTAGTTACTGTACAAGTGCTGCATAGGATTGTTGTTGATGGCTCAACAGACTCCTTCAGTCAGGGGGGTACTCTTGGCTCTGTAGTTCCAACTCCAGCCCGTCTTCCAGTCAAGGCTTATTATACAGGTACGTAGCAGAGCACTTCTTCGTGCAGGGAAGAAAAAAGAAGTGTTCTAATCTAGAGGTCCTAAACTGCACCACTTTCTCTGCCCACTGCCTTAGTGGGATCCACAAAGTGGGATGCTGTTACTCCAACTGTTAGTGCCTCAGAACTTTTATTGCTTGCTTTTTTTTATCTGTAGTCTCATTTCTAGGAGTCAGGACTCAACTAACAAAGGCAGGACTTGGTTTTGCATTAACTGCCAGTAGTATGCCTGTAACTTTGTGCATGGCTCAAAAGGCACAGGATGTTACTCTGGATATGGTTCTACGAGTTTATGCTTGTCTCAGTCAGTGGTGTATTTCTGCTCATGCAGCAACCTCACTCCCTCCTTCACACATGAGCTGTTCTGGTTTGAGCCCTTGGCTGGAGAGTTCTACTGGTTTAATTGTCAGAAACTCCTCTGCCAGACAAAAAGCCTGTAGTTCAGTACCTGGAACCAGCTCAGGAAGAGCACACAGGAAAGTACCTGGCTCAAAATGAAATGGGCAGGAATGTGTAACTAGGACTGGGACCCTGGAATGCATCTTAAGCTGGTGCAAGTATCCTGTTTTAGATGTTGTCAGTTAGGACAGTCAAGCAACAGAAAAGCATGTAACAAACAAATTTAAGATATACAGAATATATTACTCTGTGATGTTAATATGCCTTAGCTTTGGGTGATTTCAATGGCAGTCATACCTGAGGATCACACCAATGTAGTACTTAAAATGCATATTACAAAAGTGCAACACTTTTTTTGCTGAGACATCATGAAACTGATAGCAAACCTAGAAGACACTACTTTTAAAATTTGGGCACTTGAAGAATGGCTAAAATACATGATCCTCCTGAAAAGAAAATACACTAATAAGGTTTTCATGCACACATAATCAGTTCAGCAATTCCAAGCAATTTATTTGGTTGTTTAATGCAAATAGAAGTTATTTCTTTTCAAAGCTGAGATGGTCCAAGGTTTTTTGTCTATTTTAAGTTTCTTTAATCTAACTGGTTTAGACTTGGATTCTTCCAACTGCTCCTCAAGTTCTACTGGCAAGCATCACAGTACAAACTATGACCAGGCAAAGGTCAAACTAACATTGCACAGGAAATTACTTACCTACTTAGACATATTAGAACAGGACTGGCTTCTACAGCAGCTGAGTTCATGGAGTGACTACTGTGATTGTAATAAATCTTGATCACAATAAATTTACTTGGGGAATAAATAGGAGACCTTGATTTGTTTTTCCTGTATAGTAGTAACTGAAGCCAATGTAGTTAAAAGGGCCATCATGACAGCTGTAGAACTAACCATGGATTCTAGAAACCAGTGGACCCTTTTATTTCACTACTCCTGCAGTGTAAGAAACAATGTTTAAAGACTCCCAAGGTTAAAATGGAAAGTTACACTTAACCACAAATAAATAAGCAAGCAAATGCTGGATTTTCAGGTACTGTGCAAAACATTTCCGTCTGTTTCCCTTATTTGTCACTTACTGCCATTAGGAACCACTACTGTGCAATTCATATCTTAGCTGTAGATTAGTGTTGTGTAATTAAGTGGCAAACAACAGATAGAAGAAGCCTTTAAAATAAATGTCCATGTGCTGGTAGCAGCACCTCTGGACTCATTTTTTCAGAGGCTGAAACAGCTGAATGTAACCCACATCTGGATGTGACCCATTGCCTCAATGCAATTTGAGTGAAAAATAAACCCAATGCATTTCCTGTGAATTAAAGGCTCTATGGGTTCCTGGCTGCTGGTCTGCTACCAGGGAAATACTCAGGAAATAGTGTAATGACACAGGGGTTTGTGCAAATGTAAAAAAACCATTCTGTTCTCTGAAGGTAAATTAACACAGGCTTAAAATTAAAAAGAAATTTTAGTTTGATCCTGGACATGTGGGAGCAATTAAGTAACTTAAGCATTGCAACACTATTAAAAAGATGTGGGTTCTACTCCTTTCCCCTCTCTTACGTTGCTGATGGTAAATAATTTTTAGTTGAAAGAATCTGCAAGGAACAAATCAAGATTTCTTTCAACTTCTCTTTTTGGTACCAGTGGTGTCTTATAGAGACTTGGAGTGTAATTTCAAAACTGATCAAAATTAAAATATGAAATCTTAGTTTTAAAATGCACAGGACAAGAGGACCAGGAAAACACAAACAAGTGTTGATAAACGTAAGCATGTGTGATGTAGTTTGAAATGTTAAGCTATTTAAAGTGTACTAATTTTACTGAATGTGAATTTAAGTTATATCCACGAGTGTTTTGACATCACAAATTTTAAGGAATTGTTTCATTCTTAATTCTTTCACACAGTTAAATCAAGAATACAAAAACATGTGTTCAACTTCCTGACCACTTAACTATATTTCTCTTAGCAAACAAAATGGCCTTTTTTTTTTAGTATAAAGCCTGCATTTTAAAGATCCTGACATGAAGATTAAATATTGCCAACTGAAGGAAATCAATTTTAGGACAGTTTTAAAAAAATTAAGTGAAATGTTTGAAGTTTCCAACCTTCCTGTGAAAGACACAGTTTTATACTACTGCAATTTAAACAAGACCAGGGAAGTCAGGGCAATAGCTTTGTTCCCTTTGCTCACAACCCAAGGTCTCTACACAGGAATTCATTGGGTAACACTTCCTTTACAGATAAAGTCCCTCCAGAAACCTGAGAAAATGTTGGGCTAAGTTCAAGCTGTGGGTAGAGCAAGAAGAACACACTCTGACAATAACTAAGGGAAGTGATGACAAATTTTAGCAGCTCTAGTCCAGTGATGCAACACTGAGTGAGTTCTAGGTTTGAGTGTGTTTAAGCATGACCAGTTCTAACAGGGGAGGTAAAAGCCTCTGCATGAGACTCCTGTCCCAAAGCCTTCGGAGCCTCTTGATTTATTTAGAGCTCAGTTCTCAGATGGCATCTGCTGGCACCTGAGGGATTACACTCAACCCGTTCCAGATGCTCTTTTTCTCTCCTTTTCCTCAACTTGGGAGGAGCTGCCTTCTTCCAGTTTGCTTCTCCATACATCCAGTTACACAAAATTAATACTAATGCATGAAAATCTGTTCTTGGTATCAATTTAGTTATTTAAGAAATATTTTCTTCATAATGCAGCTCGCTTAGAAGTTTGTTGTTATAAATCAGTGTGAATTAAATTTACAGGACAACTATGATACAGCTTCCAGAATTAACAGCAAAACAACTGGTTCAATATACCAACCCTACTAGGTCCCATAAAACTTAGGTTAATATAATTAAATTTGCTTCAGTTAACCAAGGTTATGGATTTGATCCGGAACAACATTTAAAAGTCCCATCTAACTTACCTGTGATATAGCCTTCTAAAGCTTTTGGCACCAGTGATTTTGCAGTTCTTAGGTCCTCAGCTGAGCACTTGCCTGCTTCGAGCCCAAAGGACATTCCCATTCTCTTCAGCACCTCACTGTCATCATGAATCTCGAAAGTGTTATCGAAATTAAAGAGGTATTCAAATCTGCATGTAAAAAATTAGAAGTGAGATGGTTTTGAAAAGAGCACAGCTGTGCTTTTCTTGCTTATTTTTTCTCTGGTTTTTTTTGTATGCACTCAGGTAAGTGTCTAGATTCTTCATTTTCTGTAAAGGGTCCTTAGGGAAAGAGAACTGCAACAAATGCTCTCTCTCTCCTGCCTACAGGGTTTAAAATGGCACTTTCTCAATTAAAGTAATTTCACCACTGCAGGAAGAAAGTCTAGAATTTTCAATCTCATTAAGTGGTTTCAAAGGGGAAGAGGAAGGCCTTATTAACATGAACCTTCACTTGCACTAAAGCCAATAAGGTCACCTGCAGCCCTGTCACCAAAATAACTATTTTGTTTTTGCTTTGTTTTACATTTCACTTTCTGTTCTACTGTGCAACACTCCTCCTGTGAACTGACCTATTTACCTTGGTGTAATTTTGCTTTTTTGGATGCAGCTAGCAAAGCAGTCTGTTCAGTCCTGAACACACCACTTCTGCTGCAGGACTCTGAAAATCTTTTTGATTGCATATAAAAGTGGAAATTGTGATACTTCATTGTATCACAAACTTAAGACAGCTTTAAGGAAAGCAGGGCATCTAGAATGGCCTTAAGCTACAATCACAGGCTATTAAAAGCCTGGACCGTGCTGCTCCAGGCATCACAACATAAGGCTGGTTCCCAGTCCCTCATTTGCTGCTGACAAGACCTTTATCCCATCCATGAGATACAATCTCTGAAAGATAACTCACTGGTGGGTCTTCCACTTGCTCTCCAAGCTCACGTCACATGCCCATTTTCTTGATAGGCTTTTTTTCCTAATATTAGCTTTCCCATACCTGGAGCCAGTAAGCTCAGAAGTGTTACAGCTCTTGTGCCTGTGCACAGAATTTTCACTTGGTGCTATAATGCTTTGTGCTGGGTGCAATTGTCAGTTCCAGGCACCATTTCTTTTATGACTCATCCTGTATTCCTTGTAAAATCTCTTGGTTTTGCACCTGTATTACTTCCAGCATAAACACATTAAGAGGGAAAATGTGTCACTGTACCTTGGGACTTCTTGTGCCTCATCTTTTCAATATAATTTATAACCACTTCCTTTTTATCTGAAAACTTTGCTTTTCCTACTCCAACTTCAGAAATGCCATTCCCAGTATGCTGCTTGGCACCCATCTACCTTCTCAAACTCTAAACAAAACTTGCCCAATAACCTCTCATTTTTATTTGGGAGAAATTTCATTCCCTTTTGGCTGGATAAAGCCTGTTCTTGCATAGGAAAAAGCTTAGAGGACCCAAACTTATGTGCCTCATGATACGACATCACCCTCATATGTATGACTTTTCCAAACAATTACTTTCCTTTAGAAGATCTTCTGTAAACACAACTTTGAGCAGCTAATGCTGTGAGCTTTGCTCTTCATTGGACTTACTCACATCAATGCTTTATATAAATGTTAGGTGGAGAAGAAAGAAAAATGAAAGCCCTTTAAAGAGTGGGCTGTTGGGACTGGAACCAAGTGCAGGGCAAGCACTCAAGCTGACCAGTAATGGAGTTAAGCAGCACAAATACTCTCCAATAAACTACAGGACGTGAATTCTCCAAACTGAGTGCCCACTTTTGCTAACTGCCTTATTAAACAGATCAAGGTAACAGTGCTTAAAACAGAGCAGATTCTGGCACTGTTTATCTACATATTGCTGCTGCCACTAATCAGTTGCACAAATAATAACCACAGTGGAAAGCTTGTTTAATTTGGGTCGTACACTTCATGACCTCCAGGTGACAGTAATACCAAAGCAGGTTATATAAACTGAAGTATTGACAACTTAAATAATTTTGGTGTGCTCACTTTTAGTAGCAGCATTTTCATACAGTTGGAGGCTGTTACACGTGTGCTACACTGCTCTAGATCCCAGATGCCAGTTTAACCTCTGACAACTTCAAAGCAACAGTTCTGAAGTTTCAGTATGGAATTGTTCAACTTCTTAACAACTTCAAAGCTCAATATAGAGCCCTGTTCAAAAGAACTATATAGTGTGACTATAAAATAAGGGCATAATTATGCTAAACCAAAATTGATCCTGAAATTCCCAGCTTGGTTAACTGCAGTGCTGATGGGAGTATTCCAAAAGTTTTGTCACAGAATGTATTGGACTTCAGTCCAATTTTCTACAAAAATTCAACTTTTAATAGTATTGCTGTTTTGCATGTTGGTGCTTAGGTTACTAGAGCCTGTCTATTTTTGCTGCCTGACACAGTTCAGTCCAGGATTTGCACACCAAGAGTGAAATCTGTAATCTACAGTATTAAAGCAAAGCCAGCTATTCTCAGCTGATAAACTATTGTGATCCGATTACCAGTTAAAGTAACAGCACCTCACACTTCAGCCATATTTTCACAGGACAAAGAGCACCAGAATTATGTAACTGGAATATTTTCAAATTAATATAAATACAACTATAGCAGTTTGCATACAAAGACAGTCTTTCAAATTTCTATGTAATTTCCTTCAAAGAACTAAGTGCCCCTTTTTTGGTGCTAAAAGACACTTTCAAAGTTGTTATCATCACCTCCAGGACGTTACTTTTGTGTCACATGGATCACCTTTGTTTCTGACTGTGTACAGTTTTCTGGTATATGAAGAGTAAATATTCAGAAGCAGTACCATGGCTTCATGAAAAGGTGATGCTGTCCTGGTATATAGTTTCATTCGGTTATTTCTTCTGTGCAGTGGATGCTCTTTGAAATGTCAGCCTGAAGTGCCTTTCATAAAGTGACAGTTGACCTTTCTTAACTTGTAAAGCAGTGTTGATAAACTCATTCCTATTACTCTTGTAGTTGCATTAAATATTAAAAAACCCAAACCAAAACAACAAGCAACCCCATGGAGTGACAGCTGCAAATGTAAAATACAATAATTACTATTAGTAAGCTAAAAAAATTTCTCTTGTTTGTTTTAAGAAAAATTCCAGTCTGTAAAGAAAATAAAATTGTAAAAATTGATTCCATAAACACTCACTTGTCACTTGATATGCTGCAGTCTATAATTGTTCTTTTGCTAGTGTTGACTATTAAGAAGGGCAGCTGTATTGTGGAGTTCAAAGATGGAGGGCCTTGATTTTGCTGTTCATTTTGCTGATTTCTTTGTACCAAGTTTTTAAATGCTATTTGCTGTACGAAAAAAAAAAAAAGATCACTGACAATAAAAGAGCAGACATCAGTGTTTCCAAGAAATGAAATGTCATAGGTCTTATTTACCAACTCTCAATACCTTATTTTGTCAAAAAGTAAGTTGTGGCCTGACTTTCTCTTTGCACAGTGAAGTTCACCAGGAACAGAAGTTAAAGGCAAATTTCTCACACATATCCTAATGACTATGTCCCACTCACACTCCCTGGAGAAGAAACAATAAAGGAGCACTAAAGCTTCCCCATTCCTTTAGAAAGGGCACTGGAGTCCGAGGTCTTCTCTGGTACTTTTTAAGCCTTATTACCTCAGACTAGGAGCTCATTACACTGAAACAAAAGTTAACAAAAATCCCCCCTCTTCCCATGATCTGTATTCTCTTTTCCCTCTCCTTTATCACCCACTTCTCTCTCTGAAGAACTAGTTTTGAAATTCTTCTCTGGAAGTTATTAAACAGGTGCTGTTTGTGACACCACTCACTGTCTACTGATTTCTTATATCTGACTGCATCTGTATGAAAATGTGTGGGTTTAGGAAATGTACTTTCATTTACAGAAAAAAAATTAAAATTAAATGTACCTGCAGCAGCAGTTCTTGCAGTTGGGCTCGCTTCTGTTTTATCCTTTCAATCCGCTTCTGTTTTTCTATCTTAAAAGATAAATGTAAATGCATCAAGATATTTCCTTAGTTACCTCATCTGTTCCATTGTGCAAACTGAAAGGCTTTCTTTGAAAACGGGGTGAATTGCCTGGTCATATGAGTTTCTCCAGTAAACAGGTCTGTCAAACGGTAATTTCTTTCTTTGTCAACAATTTTAACTCCAGTAAGGAATTAATTATTACAAGAGACTATTATCTCCCCACCCATTGCTCTTCGTACTGTGAACTGAGAGCCAATTAGCACCAAATCAAACACTTGCTTGAGGGGGCGCTTTGGGGTTTGTGTTTTTTATTTTTGGGGTTTTTTTCCTTCTGCCCTCCACTCTTCAGCAGTTGTGCACGTCCCACTGTTCTAACTGCGACCTACTAGACATAAATGTTTGGAGGCTGGGCTCAGGATCATCACCTCCACCTTTCCAGTGACCTCTTTTTGTTTGAGACTCCATTAAACTCACAAGACTGCAGGAACAAATCTCGTGATTACCTCGACCCCAAAAAGGGGGTAGAGGTAACATTTTCTATATGAGCACAGAATCCTTCTCTTGCAAGAGTTTTGTTAATGGCAGTTTCTGGGGCCAAGCCATCCTCCCCCGTGTGTGGAGTGTTTGGGAGAGCTGGAGTGCTGGATGCCTTCGGGCCCTGCAGGTACAGCAGCTTTTGGAATGTCCTCCAGGGCAACAGGAGAGAACTGGACAAGTGTCATCATGGTTACAAGGGGTTCTTCCTCATCCTGTTGGTGCCAGCACTGTATCATTGCTCCCCAAAATATTAAACCCTTAAATTACCTCTTCATTCAACCACTGAAAATAAATGATACAGTCTTTTAAAACTCAGCTGGCCCAACCCCTCTGTCCTATTTACAGTATTGCTCTGTGGTGGTTCCCTCCGTCCTATTTACGGTGTTGCTCTGTGGTGGTTCCCTCCTCACACACTTCAATGTTTAAAATGCTTCCTTCAGAGCACAGTAAATGACTTTTTTTCCTGGGATTCTTAAAACCAATAAACAGTGCAGATTTCATTTAGGCATGGTTTCTATATAACAATTTTTTTGTACTGGTAATCTTATTAGGATTTACACTGTAAGAAGAGTTGGCAATTTGTACAGCTTTAAAAGCAAAATTAATTCTGATTTTCACACCATAAAAATGTAACTGTATTTTACATTCTCTTCTATTATGTCAGAGGAAGCAACGTTTTTAAAAAAAATATGCCTGGCTTCCATTTTGTGCATATGTAATTAGAGCCTGAAACAGTGAATCACATATGATCATTGAAGATAACACAAGTTCTATATTTGTAACAATAACATATATTGAAGAGAATGCATCCACATGAATGTATGCAAAGGGTAAATTTATCCATAATTTAAAGAACCCACCCTGGAGTATAATTACTGAGCACATGCATTCTCCTTGGGGAAGTGTATTTGCCAAGTGCTGTAGTGGACAAGAACAGCAAAAGCTTTTCTGTTACCACACCTAGAAAGACAATTGATGTAAATGACTGCACAAAAAGAGCTGTTCTCTACTGGAAAGGCGCCACCCACCTCTTAAGATACCTACTGCACAAATATCACAAATCTAGTAAACATGAAGATGTATTTGCAAACAGCCATTACAGCTCGCTGCAGTAAATACAGTGACTTGTGGTTTTATTTATAGCACATTTGGCCTGAAGGACAAGCAACATTTGTGCATATAAATTCTGGCATCCCTGCAAAAAACCACTGTAACTCTTAGCCTGCTGGAAAAATAATGGAAATAACCAATAAGTTAAACTTCTTTTTTGTTTTTCTGGCAGTTCATAACTAGTATTTGACACCCTAGCAGGAATTACTTTTCAATTTAATTTCCTTTGAATCATATTTCCAAGTACAGACATTAATAGAGAATTGGACTTCTATTCTTTTGACTTTCTTCTGGTTAATTCAAGCTATTACACCACTGTCCATTTTTGTTAGGTAAACAGCTTGGGGTTTAAAAAAACTTTATGTAACACATACTAAATAAACAAAGCTGAACTAAGCTTATCAAACATATCCTTTCAGTTTATTCCAATATCAAAAGTTGTATTTTCATAGTGTGCAAGAATCAAACCCAATCAGTTCCAAACTGAGAAAAAAACCCTCTTGTAAAGAGGAGCAACTCCATTATCACAACCTGGGAACTAAACAGAATTTCCCATGTACCTCCCCTTACCTCTAGATTCTGACATTCCTGAGCTGAGTTTGTAGGAAGGCCAATCCATCTGATTTCCTTCTTCTCCTTTGAAATGATGTTCATTGCCATCAGGACGTTGAGGGCATCGTAAACTCTCCGTCTAATATTTTTCTGATCATAAGCCTGCTAAGAAAACAATTCAGCATTAATTACAGTGAAAGAATTAAAAAAGGAAAGACAATTGAGCACATCCTAGATATGTAGAAGATAAAATGCCAAAATAGCAGTTCAAGTCAGAGTGCTATTAAAATATGATCCTTCACCTGTGCTACTCCTTGGATACCACATGAGCATGTCTGGCTACAGGTGGAAGCTTCAGGCCTGCTGGAAGCATCTGTGCAGGAAATTCCCACCATGGCAAGTCTGTCACTATTGAAAAGCCAGACAAGACCACACATGGTGGGTGCAAGAACAGCCTTTTCTTAAAGTTAATTATTTTGGCGGACTTGTCTACTTTGTTTATAATTTAGAGGGAGTTCAATTCTTCATTTTAATTCTCTGTTTTTGAATTTCTGAGGATAAGTCTTTATATTTGAGAAGTAGTCAAGTAAGTGAAGGAAAGTATGGACTGTGGCAGGATAGTGCAGAAGCAGAAGGAACAGAACCCCACGATAAACAAGACAAATCTGTAATGGTATAACAGTTTCACCCCCTCTTCGCTTACCGAGTCTGCAGCCAAGTGGCTGTTGGAATTTGTGAACTCTGACACCAGCTCATCGGCCACTTCGTTGTACGAAGTTGTTCCTTTACGCTGAACTTTTTCGCAAACTTTCATTGAAAAATGCCTCAGACCCTTCCCATTTTTATCTCCTTTTTTGCTTCTCTTACTGGAAAGAGAAAAATATTATTTTAATACATTGAATGTTAATAAGCTACTGTGTTACACAGTAAAGGGTCTACCTTTTGCAACAGGAATCTGGACCATTTAAATTAAAACCAAAACTGTTCTGCTTTTTTGCATCAGTTTCTTGTTTCTTACAAGTTGGCAAAAAAGTGCACTGGAGCCCTTTCCCTTTCCTTGGCTATTTCTACATGGGTTGTATTTGAACACATGCTGCGAGAAGATGCTTAAAATAGATTTGGAATTCATCTTCAGGTAGTTTCACAAAAGAACAACCAAAAAAATCTCACAGGGTGTTTATGTGCCTGGAACCCAGATTTATGGGGATCTCTCACGTGTGTGCCTAAAATAGAAAGGCTCAGACACCCCTGTTTAAATATTTAAAATACAGCAAGAGATACTAAACTTGCCCATCAGGGGAATTAAACTATGTGCCATCATAGTTAAGACAGAGGTACAAGAATTTCTTTAGTGGAGAACAAGTACATATTCATTGAGTTTTATGGTGCCAAATTAACAACTGGCAACTGTCAGGGTTATTTTCCATTTACCTTCTTCTTCCAAAAAAGCAAGAGCTTAGCTAATAGTAATAGAAAAAAACAGGAGCAGTTGGTTTTCTCACACAAACTAGATTTGGATGTGGATTACAACAGAAGCCTTTAAAAAGTTCAGCTCTGTTGTTTTTGGGTTTGGGTTTTTTTTTAATTACAGTCTGAAAAGTTCATTTGATAATATGTTTCAGGGAGATCTGTTATTTTACAGAAAAAGGCCTAGTTCTGCCAGCAGTAACAAGCTAAGGAAAATATTAAAATATTAACATAAAAGAATGGGTTTCAAAATTTAGAACATATTTAAGAAAACAGAACATAGAAGAAAAAAAAAGAATAGGAACACCAGAAGATTAAAAAAAACCCCAACACTTCCAATCCCTACACAGATATTCAATTTGATCAACCTCAACAGGTAAACAAATAAAACCACCTTGAATGCTTTCAAAAAAAAGTTTCAGAAGCAAAGGAAAAGATCATTTGTTTAGAAGTATTTGTTACATGGAAAACTAGAACAATCTTATTTCTGAAAATCTGTTTTTCACAACTCCTGGTATCTTCTGTAACAGCAAATTTATTTATCGGGAAGTGATAAAGCTAAAAGGAATGAATTATAACTACAAGGATCCACACAGCTTTTATGTGAAGGAGTGAAAACTGAAAGTGGGAACTGGACACCCATCTCTCTGAAGGGCAGATCTGAAGTAAAACAGGTATGACTGTGCACATAAAATACATGTTCAGCAATACTCACCTTTCTGAAAAATCTGACTCTATAATTTCTTGAGTCCGCTTTCGCTCCCTAAGAAAAGACAATTCAAACTTAAGATGAAAATAACATCATATCTACAGACCACTAAAATCACAGTATGCAGGGCCTTGCTGGATCTGGTGTTTGCTGTTACATGTTTCCCAAAAGGGAAAAATCTGACACACAGAGATTGACAAAATCTGAGAGAAGGTGGTTAGGGCTTTTGGAGGAGGTTGTTGGAGCTCACTGCCAGACAAGTTCTATTCCCAATTTTACCATGCTTTGCCCATATAAATTTAGGTAAGTCACTTCACCTGGAACTACAAAAGTGCTGATGTGAGCTAGATAACCAAAGTCCATCAAAAAGGAGAAGCTGGGCTCCTTTGAAAATTCCTATTTAAAATTCCTCCATGTGGAACAAAAATGTCTTTAAACAGTGCCTAACATATATCCTGTATTTTCAGGCCATTGAATGTTCTGAAATCTTTAAACAAAAACCAAAGTAAACCACTAAACATGTTCATATTAGGGCTGATGCAGACAGAGCTGAAGAGAGAGACTCTGAGGAAGCAGCTGGTGTGAATTTTGCACAGGACGAGCAGTTTGCAGTCACTGGTGGTTCCTTATCGTCCCATTTACACCCACAGCAAACAGGAGCTGTGTCCCAGACTCGCATTTATTCCTGCAGCTCACACAAGGTACATTGCCTGAGAGTGTTGGGAAGTTACATTCCATTGTTTCCCTGTGTTTCCAAAGCGGCCCCACAGCACAGACTCACAGCTGGAGACCTGACACTGCTGTGAGGGACGCTGAACAGGAACGATGGATTTGAAGCCCTGTGCCTTGAAAGCCAGCACGTACTTGGTTTGCAGTGCAGAGCACAGGAGGCCTCTCCCTGGGCAGCAGCAGTGGGATTTCTGCCTCGGCGACCCCTGTCCATGGTGCTTAACTGGGGGCTGAGTGCAGGTGGGGCGGGGGCTGCAGCACTTCCCTGGGCAGGGCCCTGGAGCAGAGCGAGAGAAGAGCTGGCCCCTGGTCTGTGCACCAGGCTGCTGGGGGCTGTGTGGAGCCCTGAGAATGAATATGCTCATCCCATTTGATTTTGGAAATAATTTGGAATCCGTGGAGTAAACGATGGGTAAAGCAAGTAGGCTGGACTTGCAGTCTTGTGGAACTGTCTTCAGCAAGGGCTCACCGCCTCCATTCAGCAACACCACGGACCCTTCCTCACCTCTGTTCCTCAGATGAAAACATGACCTGTGGTATGGACTTCTGCACAGATCAGTATTAACTGGTCTGCCTGGAGTCATCTTGCTCAAATGGCTGAAACAGGAGTCAGGCTCTTCGGAAATCCCGTGTCTCGACTCTGACAGTCAACGAACAAAAGGATGGTTCTTCTCCTTGGTGGTGGAGGTTGATGCTCTGCAACGAGGCTGCTCCAGGAACCCCCATCACTGGGTTTGGATGAAGCTTAGGAAAGCAATGGGTGTTGATTCTCTGGTTTAGCAAGTTGCTGTGACAAGTAGAGCTTGTCCCTCCTCTGGGTACTGAAAGAACATCTGCCTGGCCTCCACATTTCACAAAATGTGGAGAAACAAAGTAATCTTTGTGAACTCCTTTTTCAAATAAAATCAGAACTGAGTGCATTCAAAAAGTATTTCAGGAAATGAACACAAAGTCAGCAAAAAATAAAGCTTAAAAACTGCTCAGCTGGGCCTGCAGTTTATCGACTCTGTGGTGGGAATACAGGGATGGGGAAGTACAGGCCTATGACAGTCCTTTCTTACAGAGTTGTTGTTTCTTAGATGCTCCATTTCTCATGTCTAAAGCTGAAAAGGTACTACTGACATTCATCACTGATTAGAAAAATTAACCTAGATGCAGAAATAAATTATTTTTTCAGAGGCAAAGCTCTACATCTTTATTTTGAGACAGCTAAGCTCAGCAGTACTGGTATTAAAACAAAATACCAAGAAATACTGTAAAGACCAGATTTAATTAGAAGAGATAAAGAATGTCATGTTACTCTGGAGTACCTCAGAACCCATGGAACTTGTTGCTAATGTAAAATAGTAATAAAAATACCACACTGATTACATTCAAAATTTTCCATTAGAGTTTATTCTTAATTGCCTCTTGAAGTGATTTTGACAGTCTCTCCCCCTGTAGGTACCCACTGCTATGCTCAACAGCAGCACTACTTGAATAGACCATGAATTCATGAAAAAAATAAAAGCTTGTTATAACAGGACTCGTGAATTTGCGACTCCATTTTCACAGAGAAACAGACACTGCCACAAACCACAATTAAAGCAGACAGTGAAGTGATCAGTGCTTGTAGCTCGTGTTCACATGCTTCAGACATCAGAAATGCATATGAGGCTAGACAGCACACTCCATATTCCTTTTAGCTGTGCAAGAACTAGAAACTGTAAGCCAACACACAGATACAACAGTATAAATAACAGAAAAGATCAGAACAGGCCCTCAGACATCTTTAAATAAGGTAAAAGTCTTACCCTGGGACCCAGCCAGAAGCTTCTGTTATGTGTGTCTGTGTGACCATTGTTAGAGGTGGGTTATACGGACTCCCAATCAGAACACTCCCTGAATTGGTCAGTCTTTGTGGTGTGCTTATGATCTGTAAAATTTAGGAATAAAAAACACTGTTGTCTTAAGAAAAGAGAGGTTACCACAGCCCCAAATACTAAGCATTGCACTAAGAAAAGCAGTAATAATTCTGTACCAGAAGCAAGCTGCAGTCAAAATATACAGAAGAGATGTCATCAGAAGATCTTCATACAGTAAAGTAATTACAACACTGTTAAGTTTTCTAATTGTACCATATTACTGTATTATTCATATGATCAAGAACTAGACAAATAGAAGTAATTCCTAGGTATGGCAGGTAGGATCTGTACCTATAGACACCCAGCTGTTTCTCCACGAGTACATCCAGGCAATGTTTTGATCCCTGTAATCAATAAAACCTTCTTTCTTTCCAATGGATTTGTCTCTTGTAACTGTCTTTGGTACCAAAGACAAACCGAGCTCCAGGCAAAGTGTTCCCTGCAGTTTCTAGCACTCACAAGATCCCAGGGCATTCTGGCAAGCTAATAATACAGCACTGTACCTATGGAACTCAACATAAAGTCTGTACTGTAGAAAGAATTTACATTTACACAAACCTGGTGAAATTGTAGGTACAGTGGTTAACACCAAGACACCTAGTCTCTACTTTTAAATCACATCCAAGTTCACTCTTCAAAGTAGGTCACCAGAAGAATTTATATAGTATTTATAGATCAAACAGCATTAATTACTTAATCTTTAAAATAAAACACATTTAATTACTTTGATTCCAGTATGATAAGATTCATACCAAGGTTTCTTGGACAGTGCTTTTTACTCATATACCTTATTTCACTTTTTAAAACTTAATTTTACTTTACTCCATTTGTTAAGTAACATGTTTAGTACTGACTGGACTAAACATTGTAGTTTCCTTTACTATTTAACTTATCCAACAACCCTGTAAGTATACAGCATATATATATATACATAGCAAGTGTGTATATATACAGCAAATGTGTATATATATACAGCAAATGTGTGTATATATACAGCAAATGTGTATATATATATATACACACATATGCAACAAATAAATATACAGAATTTGTTTGGTATCCATCAATACTGTTTAAACAAGTAGAAATAAATGATATGTGAAGAATCTCCCATTTCCTTAGCTCATTGAGTGTTACTTCACATCCCTCCTGACACCACACAATCATAATGCATATTGTTTTGTCTTAAAGACATAAATTCATCTCATTTATTTTTGTAAACGGACAGCTCGACAGAACCAAGTGAAAACAGAAATTTAGAGAAACCGAAGCAGTGGTACAAGTGCCGTATTTCCTGGTGGATCCCGGAGCACCAGAGGTGCCCGCCTGGCTGTGTTACCCGCCGTGACCCCGCGGGTCCCCGTGTCGGGGCCGCTCCCGCCCGGCCCGCAGTGCCACCTGGCGGCCCCCGGGAACGAGCACTAACACTTCATCAGGAACACTTACGGTGTTAAACTTACACCTAAAGATTCAGCCTTAGTACGACCAAACAGTCGTACCCAAGAACCCAGCCAGCCAACAGTGCCCTCTCCACCACTGGCACAGCCACAGCCCGGGGGACTCAGACCAGTGGTCACCGTTCAGCCACCTCACTGATCCCGGGGGCTGTGCTGGTTTGAAGGACCTGGAGCAGTGGTTAAACAAAGCCAACAGCCCCTCCCAGAGCAGGGTGTTGCTGACACAGGTGGGAGGCCGAGGCAGCGCTAACACTGGCACTGCTGAGAGCTTGTGGGCATTCTCCTTTCAATGGCCTGGCATAACACAGCTGTACCCTGGGTGTCCTAGAAGGCCTGCTTTAATGGCTACTTAATAAGAAAATGTTTTCTGAATATAGATCTATCCTTGCAAAACAGCAGAATAAAAGAATGAAAAAATGAAAAGAAAAAAAAGAATAAAAATTGTGTGTCTCACACCAGGTAGTGGCTTTTGCAACTTCTATCTGCTATAGAACTTAAACCGCAACTAGGGCTCACTTAAACCAAAAGCAGGGCCTTGAGAAGTCACCTGTAAGAGTAGGAACTGCATTAACAGACTGCTCTGCCCTGGTCTGGGCTATTTATTGCACTCACAAAACATCTTCTGTGGCAGAACTATTCCAGTGCAATGCTACAGGGCACACACTCCTCAAGACGTGCATCAGCACTGACGCACTGAGCAGGGCTGTTCCAGGGCTGTTCCAGGGCCATTCCAGGGCTGTTCCCTGGCAGCCTGTGCCCAGTGCTCCAGATGGAGAGCTCCACACAGCAGGGAATGCCGGGAAGGAGGGTGGCTGTAATGTGTGTGCCCCTTTGGTGTACTGCTGTCCTTTGGTGCAACCCACTAAAGAACAGTAGTAATGCTGACAGGAAAAAGGCCCAACACAATTATTTATAAAACATACCAAATGCTTCTGTACTCAGGCTAAGGGCTTGGCAGCTGGGCATCAGGTCACTAGAAACTGTTCACGTTTCTAGGTATTGCTTTTTTAGCTCTCTGGCCACGAGAAAACCTAAATTTTTTTTTAAACTAGATCCAAAATCCCTGAAATGTCAACATATGCCCATATACCGTTATCACTGACAGGAAGAGTAGTTTCAACAAGTTAAATCTCTCGTGGCACATCTGAGGCACTCTCTGGCAATGCTGGAGAGTATCAATAACATTCTTAATGAGATTTCTTTTTCCCTTAATACACTTTTGTTAAAATGTCAGCCGACAAAGCTGTTTTAATTTCTACTCAAAGCCAGGCAAATGGGTGTCCCCCAAGGGCAAACACAGGAGCGTTGTTGGGAGTGGCAATTTTGGGATGCTGAGCCTGCTGTGCCCCCACGTCCCCCCCCTCCCACCCAGGTGGGGCACTTTGTGGCTGGGGCAGGAAGCAGCAAGTTCCTCACACAGTTCACATCTTTGTTTTTTGTGTTTCTACATTACACCAACAGGAAGTCACACAGGCAGTTACACAAGTTGGCATTACCAGGGTTGCAACACTTACCATTTGGGGTCCAACATTCACATTGATTGGTCCTAAGGTTTTTGGCAAAATCTTAGTCGGAGAGTTGGTGCTGGAAACTGGCAATGTAATTACTGAAATATTACCTAAAGAGAGTGGTAAAAAGAGAGGTTTAAATTACTGCCTTAGTAACCTGTGAAAATCACTTTGGCAAATTCTCACACCACTTCAACGTTCTGGAACCAGATTAGTTTTCTTGCCTCATTCACTGCAAACACACGCTCATGTAACAGCCTCCAGACCTTTCAGCAGATGTCACAAGGACACCTCACCAAACTAGACCTTCACTATTTTACCTTTAAAATTAAACGTATTTTATTTCCAGAAACAATTTATTTATTCTTGCCTAAGACAAAGAGCACACAGCCTGCAATAGCTCAGCATTAGAAGTTAAAATTAATGAGAATACTTCAACAAGAAGCCAGCATACAAATCCTATTTATAATCACAAGCACGTGTAGAAAATATGTATCCATAAACCTTCCTAGCCTTAACCATTCCTCATCCACCTATACTAGAGTGTTCTGTAAACACCACTGCAGTGAGCAAATCACAGTCTGCCACTGTACAGACGGAGTAAGTGATGCCTTTACAACTTACCTAAAGTAGCAGAGCAGGCAGCTGGATGCCAAGATAAAGCCAACCACGCCACCATGTTCTCATCCCAAGATGTTTATCATTTTTGTGATCCCGGACTGCTTACGGATCTAACCCATCCTGCCTTCACACAGCTCAACGCTGAGAGCCTCAAAATACTGCTGCTCCTCCTCTATCCCAAATCGCATCCTGAATACTGATTATTTGGACTGAATGTTTTAATCAAAATGGTCATTGCAGCACTACTGTGTGTTACAGCCCAGGAGTGCTCCAACTGCTGTGCACAAGCCACTCCAAGCAGTGAGATCACTGGCTTATCCATGGACATTGTGGCAGCAGCAGCAGCTTTCTCTGGGACATCTTCAAAGCAAGGGAGTTGGGAATCGATCAAACACCAGCCCCCATTTGTACACACAGCCCTGCTCGAAAGGGGCAGGGACAGTGGGGGGTCTGCAGGCACAACCAAATGTAAGGAAGAGCTGCCACTGCCTCGTAATCCAGAGTCAGCCTGAGTCTAGCTGGGGTCTTGAGTCACGAGGACAGGGATTGGCTCCTGGAGAACTCCTTACACTCTGGCACTGCAGACAGCAACTGAGGGCATCTGAGGTGACAGGTTCCTTCAGCACAGCACAGACACCAGCCCTCCTCCCACAGGAGGCAGCCAACACTCAGTTCAGCCCACATGGGCCCAAGCTGATATTAGACATCCCTGGTCTTTTCTCACATCACCAGTTCACCTCCACTGCCCACTTTTCTCTTCTCACTTGGTCCTGAATCATGGTCTCTCTTTTACAAGTTATGCTAGCACACCTATGTTCTGCCATGGGGTAACTGAAAAATCATACATTCAATAATGTAATTTCTCTGCAATAGCAAGCAGGAGCAACACAATTGATAGAAAAAGATTTTATCTTCTGTAGTTACAGCACAGAAGTAGAAAAGATGTAGACATATGCAAAGTCTCTCCTTTATAAAAAAAAATCAGAGATATGAGAAATACATACAATTTGAGGCAAGGATGTTTTCTTGTTCTGTGTAAATTTTCCAAAAGGCAGATCTGTATCTGAAAACATCTTCAGAAACTGCTTGTTTCTCTAGTCAACAAAATGAATAAATTATTCAGTCACCTCACTCACCTAGAAAAACAAACTTACAACCACACCATCCCAAACTCACCCCCCCAGGAAATCCTTGCTCTATTATGAAACATCTTTTGTGAGGTAGCGCCAGAGTGCACAAAACAGCAATTCATGATTTACATACACTGTGTTCCCATTCTGAGCTCAAAATAGTTCTCCTACTTGTCAGTTTTACTTTTGCAGGAGGATTTTGCCTGGGATTTCCCAAGTTGTGCCAGCATATTCTCATCAAAATCCAGTCTCCCCCCTCACTGCGGGCTGTTGCAATCAATGATGTGTCACTTCCCAGTACTGCTGTAGGAATTTTCCTCTTTTCTGCTGCAGCTGAAACTTTTGACCCTGTTATCTCCAAGATCAGCTCTCATATTATTTGTTCTTGTCCCTCTTCTTACCAGGGAAAAGAAATAAATTACTTTCTCTGGTGCCAACAGCATAAGGTCACATGGCAAAGTGCAGTAAAATTCTGAGATGCCGGGTTTGGCTTCCAGCTCTACCACAGGGCTCCACCACAGAGCTGCCGCCCTGCAAGAGACACTGGAATGTCATGTTTCACAGAATAAGAGTGAGATGTGTCAGACTTACAGCACTATGCAGTCAGCACAGCAGCTCAATTAGTAGCCACTGCTGCACTGTGCCTTCCTTTACAGGGCTCCGCAGATAAATGTACATGGTCACCACTAGGGCAACTTCAGGATGTACCAGGGTCGTTCAAATTACTTGATCTTGATTTTAAAAAGACAGCAGTTTACATATGGCGTGTGTTTAAATGTCTTTTTGGCTGAAGTTGCTGTCAATAAAAAAGATTTTCATCTTCTAATCCCTACACAAATCCCCCATTTGGCAGCAGCACTGTCAAAATCATCTTAAGAGTTGATCGAGCGCTCAAAGAAATGTTTCCCTGCCTTTGTTCTTCCTTTTAAATTTCTCCATGGGTAAATATAAATATGTGAATGTGTAGATTTTTAAATGCAGATAGGATAGAAAGGGACCAGTTTCTTTTAATGAGTGAGGTCTCTTTCATCCACTGTGGACAGAAAGAAAAAACAACCAAATTTTACAGTTTTACAGGAGTAAGAAGTTGTTCTAAGTGTTTGTCAGCAGCTGAAAAATAAGTAAACAAAGCTTTATCACTTACTAATAAAATATTCCCTCCCTATTGTTTTCTTTTTCTCAAACATAGCATTATGGTCCACATACTCAAATGCTACAAATATTTAACAAATACTATTGGTGGAAAGGCCACCTCTCCATGTCCCTTCACAGCAAACAGGACAGCTGGTTCACGTTGTTGCTCCAAGAAGTTAATGTGTTTCCAAACAGATCACATCAGCACCCTAGGCTGAAGGGACAGATCTTGCAGACCAGATCACCAGAGTCACTGCTCTTCTCTAAAAGAGAAATGCAGCTTCCAAGAGCACCCTGCCCTGCCCACAGCCCTTGCACAGCAGCAGCCCAGGAACCACTGCCAGACCTGGAGCTGGCCAGGACCAGTCCCAGAGCAGAAAAAGCATCACCATAAAGTGAGAACTGCTAACACAAGTACAACCAGCTGAGGGAACAGGCACTTGCTTGCTAAGATGACTTGCTGTATTTTACACCAAGTTCTTGAGATTAGGGCACCTGTGTTTGCTGAGGAGTTGGTAATTTCTAAAGTTTTGAAGGCAAAGTAGTATTATAGAACAGCAAACACCAACAAGAGCAATCTCTTCAAGTCTTATTTACGAAACAGCACAGAAAAAGTAGGAGGAAGTAGATGCCACAAAACATTCAACAGATTTCTGTATTCAACTGAAAGCAGAAATATGGTCAAAGTAACTATATATATATTATCACAAAGCAACCGTAAAGGCTTTAAACATGACCAAATTCTAAATAAATGCCAAGTCTTAATAACACCCATCATTTGGGGACAAAAAAGATTACACTGATTTATGTCCCATGGCACAACAGCAGTGAGTACAGTGATAAGCTGAACACAATGAGACCCATCAGCCTCCGAGTCACGGTAATCTCATTGCGTGGATGAAAAAGGTCAGCTCAGATGGATCAAACTAGAATGATTTGTATAATAATACTCAATTCTTATATAATGTTTCTCAGTAGCACTTTCAAGGCACAAAGGAGGTCAGTGTCATTATTCCCATTTACCTATGGAAACCCAAGCACATGGGAAAGAAACAGACTTAAAACTCTCATCGAGGAGCTTCAACTGCAATGCACATAAAGCCACCCCAAACTGAGCCTGCTCCTCACTGATGCAAACTCAAAATAAAAATCTGCCAGTGCACGTAAGTATGTTTCTCTCAGAACAAAAGCACTTTGCTTCTGCATAAATTATTTTTCCATCCCTCAGTCACCACTATTGCTGTTTCTCATGGAGAGAAATCAGTGTTGCTATAATTTCATATTTAAAAAAAACATCATCACTACATAATTATTAATCCTCCTGGCATTTGTGCAATATTTTTACTTGCACGCACAAAGAAAAATTCAATTTAAATGATCTTCAGCTTCAAGCAGTCACAGATAAAGTTATTCATGTTTATGTACATGTACACTCACATGCACACACTAACCATCCCACAAGACTCACTTTAAATCATTATGTGGAACCCTAAATAGCTTAACTTCACACAAACAACATGCATTTCTATACAAATATGAAACTAAAGAGATTTTAGTGATTTTTCTTCCTGTATAACTAAATCTGTTAGGTCTGCAGCTTAGTTGCAAAGAGAATCAGAAACAATGTCAACTGGAGAATCTATAGAATCTGTCATAGCCAGTTTGAAGGAAACCATGGCTGATGGGGAGCACAGCCCAGCCAGCTGGGGTTACACACAATGCCTACATCAACAAAAAAAGCTTTTGAATTTCCAAACAAAACACCAGGGAAGTGTTGGTAATTTGGATTTCATATTCAGAGCTCTAAACAAGTGTCCACATTTTAAAAGTGTCTCGATGAATAGCCATTTAAATTAATACAGCCTGTGGCAGAAAACCCCAGTTCAGAGTTGTGAAATATCAGCAGTCCATCAGGATATTTTGCAATAACACAGTGATGTGCCCTCAGGATCCTTTATTACACTACAGCATAAACTGATCTCCAAGATCAGCTATTATAACAGCATATAGAAAACCCGAATTATTATCATGCTATTAGTACACAAGTATTTTCTTGGGACATTTATTTGTTTATTCATTGCATAAAATTACTGGGCCACAAACCTAACTTTTAAAAATTCCATAGTCTGTAGAAGCACGTACATATCTAGAAATACCTCAAAGAGATCTGTAGAAAAGAAAAAGCAAAATGGGGCAGATAATATTTCAGTGTACTTTAGGCTTAAACTGAACAGTACATTTTCAGTCTTTTACTGCTCAATTTCAAACAAATTTACAGGAGTTAACAACTGCATGAATCCAAAAGTACTGGGCACAACTCTGTGGATAACCAATTCTGATGTCTGGGTCATTTTAGCAGGTCTCTTCAAGCACATCATGAACAAGTTCATTCCATTAGAGCAGTCCTGTGCAATAAGCCCAAGTACAGCATAATAAAAAGATGGATTGAAACAAAGTTCGCTGTGAACTTGTATTAAAAGCTAAGGTTCCCACCCAAAGCGATCTCTCTGCAAGTATGATTAACATATCCTCTGTCCTGGAGCCTGTTGCAAGACTGGTGGTCTATGGCTGGACTCCCTTTTCCCTCCACAGCAATAAACAGAGAACAACATGTAAATGCATAGAATTTGGGAATATAGTAACAAAAAAGTATTACCTAAGGACAGTATGATTCATTGAAACCATCATGTTAGTCTACATTGTAGATTTTAACGTAAGAATCCTGTGCTGCCAGCAGCCCCAGCAGCAGGAGCTGTGCCCAGTCCCACCCCACGTTAAGGTGGCCTCTCCTTCCCCACACGTGCAGATGTGACACTGGCATTCCCGCTGCTCTCCCGAAATACAAACGGACTTTTCCATCTGGCCACTCACACACTGCTGTGCGGCCAAGGCAGCAGCGCCTGGAAATCAACGGGGCTGATGAAGATCCATTGACCACTAAAATGATTTTGCAAGTAATATCTGATTGCAAACATTGATTTTATTACAAGGCTTCATGCCCAAGCAACTCCAACACTCAGCAGATCAGGCAGCCTTGGGACTGTATAAATCAGCAGGGAGCCCTCAAAGCTACAGACATCCATGTGGATGCACGGAGGGCAGGTGAGGTGGTTTTATGGGGCAAGTGGTAATACAGACATGCCCTCTGCTTGGAAAGACTGGAAAAAAGATTTGATTTTCCATTTTTGTAATATATATGAACAGGATTACAAAACTGGAAGCGTGTAAATTACTGACTGGGAATGTCTCCCAGACAGATTAAATTTTAAATTCTTCTGGTTACACATGCGACTTTTTAATATGAACTCTGCTGCTTGTCTGATCTAATTCATTCACAGCTTGCAACAATTACCCCAAAACCACAACAGAACTGTCACTATTCAACTCAATCACAAACTTAATTATACCTGTTTAAGGACTAACTGGAACTATTATACTTAATATTTTTAACAGAATGGGCCAACTCCACAAAGACATCTTGCCACTTAGACGAGGATTTTCCCTGAATGATGGAATACCTTAGTTCCTGTCAGTTAACTTTGCTAGGCACCAAAGTTCTGTTGGCACCTAGGAGTGTAACAGTCTTGTTAGCATGGAGCATACCAGGAGTTTCTCCCAACAGGCACAATCCCTGACAAAACACTAGAAGAATATCTGACACATACATACAGACCAATCCCCAAGGCCAGGAACAGCAACAGCCACCTTTGTTCTCCAAAACTTGAGAGGAAGCATCCCTTTTGCATTCAGCAAACCAAGAGAATTCATTCACTAAATGAGAACCAGAACCACTGTTTTTCTGAGAGAATTAAAATGCAGGTCTCCTACAAGAATCATTTTCACCACTAGTGTGCCGGATAATTTCAGGTAAGGAAGTGAAGCATGGCCAGCCCAGCACGCCAGAACTGAACAATTTTGACTGTAACAATAAGAACCTACAACACCAAAGACTAAATGAAAGGAGACTGTGCTACATGGGCTACTTAAAATTTCACCCAATGGTGGTCCTTGTACAAGTGGCCCCTGGTCATTAGTCAAAAGCCATCCACATGTGGCATTGCCTCTCAGATCCAATGAGTATTCATTTCAAGCTGAGGAAACAAGCTCCAAACAAGGGCTTTTAGCCAAAAGAGCCTGTTGCCTAGGAATTAAAGGCAACAAATGTAGGGAAGTAAATTGTCTGTTGAACAGGAATTGTTCACTAAACAAAGTGAACAACACTTGAGTTAATGCTCTGCTGAGCACTGTGATGTTTCTTCTAGACACACCTAGGAAAAAAAATCTGGTTCCCTTCAGATTTAGGCAGTAAGTCTTTTTATAAAGAGTGGGATAAGGATCACTGAGGTATTACTACTAACAATATTGTCCTGTACTTATAAAGTTATTCAATTATTTTCTGTATAAATCCATTGCTTGCCTCAGAAATTATTTGAAAACGTTGCACTTATTTTAGTCTTTTTCCCTAGAACCATGACACAACAATCACAAAATAATGAAGCACAAAGGGCAATTATCTCAGCAATGCACAATAAATAATTCTCAGAGGCCTACCATCAGTCTGTAATGTTCTGCAAAGCTTAGAAAACTGGGAAGACACTGAAGCTTTAGCCACTTTCTGTTTAGACTCTCTCATTTTGATGCCCTGAGCCAAAAATCATTCTTCCAGCTAGTACATGCATTTGTTTATTGCAGTGGATAACAGCAAACTTTACTTAGAAAGGTTGATTGAAATGTTTTCTGAATTGCAAATCCTCAAGTTTTCTAATATATATAAGGGGTTGCAGCTTTATTTTTACTGGAATACTGTAGCTGTTATGACTGATCATAAACTGGTTTTGAGTCAAAAGTGATTAATCTAGAAGTAATAAGATGAAACAGGACAGGACAAAATATAATTGTGCAGAACACTTAAAAGCATGAAGTCATGCTTAACCTTCTCTGCCATTTTGACAACAGAGTATGGGAACTTCAAGGGTGGAGTAGAAATCAGGAAATTCGGCATATTATTCACCAAGAAGGAATGAAAAAATGGGCTTATTTTAGCCTCTAATTAAATTACTTTTACTACACCCTCTTTTCCCCTCTGAAAGTCTGAAGATCTTCCAATCTTTTCTACTGACACTTATATGTCAGTAATAAAACATCTACCATTTAAGTTCCGAGTCTCCCAAACGTGAATCAACCATATACAGTGAAATAAGTCTTAATGTACACTTCTTTTCTACGTATACAAATAGAATTCTCTTACCTTTTGTTGGACTCTGGTTCTGATCTATAAATCCTTTCAAGTCTCCATTTGTGGAAGTCACACCAACCTGAACAAAACATTTTTGAAGTCTTAAAATACGATAAACCTTTCTTTGTTTTCTAATACACAACTAACAATACTATGAAAGTAATCTGTTCTGCATTATGAACCATCATAATCCTATGGACAGTAGAGTATAACAAGAGCATGAGATTCAAGGCAAAGAATTCAGTTCAATTATATTCTGCTACTGCACTACATGTGACCCAAGCAGCCCATTCTGGCTCTTATGGTGTAAGTCACTGTCCCCTCCAAGTCAAATGGAGCAGCTGCCACCAATAACAGCACAAACCTGCCTGATGTCCAGAACCCTTGGTATTAAGCTGCACAGGGTCTACAGGTCTGAGATGTGACTATTGATGCATTTTAGATACATTCCCCAGCTTCCAGAGACAAACTGACTTACCCTGTGGGCAAGAGGTAAATAATACTTACTTAGGGTAAGTTACCGGATACATGGAGAACTGAAATCATACACAGAATGGTGCATCTCAGATTTTGGCAGGTACACAAAGCATAGAAAGGTGCAGTTTGTACAGAAAAATGTAAGATCACAGCTCCTGGATGAGGGAGGGAAGAGACGGAAAGTCCCTTGTACCCCGGCTAACAAGGGATGGGCCCAGCAGCAGCAAGTAATGGTAAGGCACTTTGCACTTTCAGCACATTATGCTCACACCACCTTAGAAACCTCTGTCCAACAAAGCATTCTCTTTTGCTTCCAAGTTGGGAGAAGCACTGGGGGACTGAGCTCTGTTGGGGCATTAGGCAACTAAACTAAATACAAAAAAACTCTTTTTAAGACACTATAAAATTTGAGTACTTCTGTAAGTAATTGGGACAAAGGGGTCTGGTATCCAAGTTAAAAGAAAACAATTATATGGTCAAGGATCAAATATTTGCTTTATTTTACAGATGTATGTAGCAACAATGGAACCGATGTTAGGGCCGCTTGTAGAATTTTAATAATCTCAGATTAGAACATAATTTAATTTTAGACAAATTAAACAGTAACTAAAATAAACTACACAAGAATGAAAAATACCTACCATAAGCATTCAGACGCTTGGTTCCACTAAAGAACTTGTATTCAGCAAATAATTTTTGTAGGGAAAAAACTGCACACGGCATTGTGTGAAACTATTTCTATCAAGATTTTTTCACCATCAGGGGACACATTAAATGATTAACTGTTGCTGCACTACTCTGACTGTAAAACACTGCCTAAATGAGCTAATTAGGTGCTTCTGTAAACAAGCCCTAAAGATGCTCAGTGCAGTCCCCCAGTTTATCTCAAACGTTGTTAGTATCCCACTTGCCCTTGCCTGTCTTTCCTGGCACACCCCTCTAGACTCTCATCACTGTTTCCCAGGGGCAGTCAGGTGTTTTGGCTGTTGCAGGCGATGGTACCACCAGAAGCTGTTTTGAAAGAGAGCAAGTGTGTCCCATGTTCCCTCCCCATTTCCCAGGCTGTCTCCCAGCAGGCGGCAGCAGTGCAGCAGAATGCAGCGGGACTGGGGAGGGAACACCGGGATTGGAGCAGGGCAAGGGAATGAAGGCATGAAAACAAAAGCAAAACCTCTCCTATCACGATCTGGGAGCAGATCCATATGGAAAACTGAAGCACTCTGGTATTTCCCCCCCCAGGTGCTTGGGTGCAAGGAAAGCTCGTCTGGCAAGAAGCCGCTGTGGTTCCTCACACTGAAATGTGTTCTCGAGGAGAAGTTTAAACTAGAGGTTGGAGAGGTTGGTAACTGCACAGTGAATAGCACTGGAAGGCCATTCCACTGCCAAGGGAAGAGCCGGCACTCCTGGATCATGCTACTGCTGCCTTTGCACAAACAACAGCTTCTCCCCAGGCCCCTTGCCTCTGCAAGAAGGAACACAAACAGGAGTAATTCTAAATTCAGAGAAAGAACAGGGCTCCACAGGGATAAACATCATGTTAGAGAAAAGGGCCTCAATTCATCTCAGGAGAAGGGATAATAATTATGATGAACATCCTCAAGGACACCACTGCAATTTGTTCACAATTGAACATTCAGCTCTAGATTTACAACTGCATTTCCCTATTGATTCATATCAGCACTTCAATTAAACACTGAAGGTGATGTACATGTGCAGTGTCAGAATGAAAAGTCTAACACACTTCATTCTCTGAAAGATTTAGATTATTTAAGTGAATCCATATTTAAGGCAATATAAAAAAGTACTTGAGGGGCTTTTGTGTGTATGTTGTCCTTCAGTTATCCAAATGACATAAGATTATAGCAGAATTTCAGTTTGCACATAAATATGTTACTTTCATTACAATGGTCCTAAGAGCACATTTATAAAGAGCATCCAATAAACAGCAGCACTTTTCTAAATTTAATAATCTTTGTATCTAAGTTTAGAAGAGTTTGAAAAGAAACTTGAATTTTGTGAGAACTTAAATGAAAAATATGGCAGACTTAAAGGAATTTGCTTCTCTTACAGAGGAATAATCATAACTAAGCCCTCAGAAGTAGCAATGTGTGATATAATATTACAATACTGCAGCAGAACAGACCATCACAGTATTCCATCTCAGAGGTCTCAGGCCAGGTTGTTATCTGGATCCCACTGCTTCTGGGATCTTGTAATTTAACCACTCCTAAACTAAAATCAGCAAACGATCCAATGCTTAATTGGTATAATTTGTTATTTTTGTATGTCTCCTGTGATATTTCTGCTTTATAACAGTGCCCCAGAGTGTGGATTACTGGGAATGGCAGGAGCTGCACTGCTGCTCCTGTCCATCTGTGGCATGATGAGCCCAGTCATGAAGTAAGATGGAGAAAGCACTTAGCAGGCCTTTGCACACTGTTAAATACTTCCACTGAAGTATTATGCCTTTTTTATCAGGCAACTAATTGTCCAAATGGGATGAGAGGAAAGGAAAAAAGAATCACAACAAGCTCTTGTAGCTTCCCAGCCTTCTCTAAGGCTTGACATACTGCTCAGGGCAAGTCTCCTAGACCAACTGCAGCAGTTAAACTTTCCTCCATGCTGACATGTGAAAGGAGAGCTATCACACCCATTTCACTGACCTCATCTACAACAAGACAACCACCCCGAGAAGCAGTGACAAATAACTTCACATGGATAAAAATTCAGAGCCAACAATCAAAACTAACAGATTTATTGAAAAAATCTGCTTTAGTCATATTATTTATTTGGTCCTAAAAATAAGTTTACCATGAATATTTGCTCATTTTTTCCTCCATTTCTCAATTCTGTTTTGGTGCCATCTTACTTAAAGGACAGATGGGAATGGAAGTACAAAACAGGCAAGAAAAACACATTTTATGATATAAGCAAAGAATGAAATAACCCAATAAGATAGGGTGATTAGAATTACATCCAGGTGCAATGTATATTATACATACACAACATCTCATCTCCAAGAGAATCTGTAACTTTTACTCAACATTTTATTATTTGTACCTGCTTTGTTTGGATTAGTTTTTTATGGAAGGTGAAATTACCCATAAACAATATTTCACAAGCAGATGGTAGAAAGTGTCCTGCATTTAAAGGAAGTGAACAGTGAGCCAGTCTTGATAATTTTCCAATCCTGTACTCAAAAAGTTAGGAAGGAAAAACAGTGATGGGGAACATTATTCATCTTGCATACACATCCAATCTATGGAAACATTCTGGCATGTGCTTGAAGCACAAGCTTCCTTGGAGGGAAGGCTGTTCACCACAGCTTATGGCATGGGAGATGAAAGGCCATTTTAGCCTAAACTCACTGCACTTGGCTGTGATGCAGAAGGATCACAAACGTGCCCAGACTCTGTCCCAGCTGGGGGCAGTGATTTCAGAACACAGAGGTGGCAGCTTCCCTGTGTGTACAAGTTTAATGAAAGATATGTGCCCTTTAAGAGTTTTCAGGAAGATGCCCAAGTTCCAGTACTTTGAAGTTCGCTTTCCTTAATGCTTCAAGATACAGGAAAAAAAGATAGAAATACTTTCACAGAGAAGTTGTCTCCCTCAGCTCACTCTGCAGATCATTAAACCATATCCAACAACATAACAGACAAACACTAACCTTGCATCTGAAACAGGTTTTGAACTGCAGAAACCAACAGGCATATGCTAAACCCCCCAACTCTGCAAATTCAGAAGAATTCTTGGGCCTTCTAACAACATCAGAAAACATTAGGGCTGACACTGTTACCCTGAGTGTGCAAGTCTAACTAACTAAGGTTTGGAAAACCTGAAGAAGTGCTACAAATAAGGACACAAAGCATATGTCCACCATTTTTACAGGTAAACATGAAAACTGAGTCCTACATTCATCTGCACCACAGTAATATTTTTTTAAAAAATAAACTCATAAACATTAGATACATAACCAGGTTTGCCTAAGTTTGATATGCAAAATTTCAAAATACATACCAATAAAACATCTCTTCTATAAAGTAACCATAGCCTTGCAAAACCACATGTCTGTATTCAGCACAAGAATAAGTTGCCCAGACTGAAGGTTCACGTCTGTCCTTGAAGACTTTCAAAACCCAGAGCCCTGACTGAACAAAGCACCAAGCCACTGGATCCCAGTATCAAAGAGCTTTACACAAAGCAGCACAATATATGGCCTCCTGAGATCCCTTCCAACCTATGCCACTCTGACTCCATCACGCAACACTCCAGAGATTTTATTGGGATTGGTATTTATCCTTTGACTGCATCAAACAAAAGGTCAAAACCACAAGTGATCTGGATTTGTTCAGCTGTTCCACATACATCAGTAGAACTACTTATTGAAACTAGAGATTAAGATGACCTACGAAATAATAAGTCAAAAGGCTTTGCATATACATATCAAATTATCTTGTCTTGGTAAGCCTGAATCAAAAAGTGAGATGTAAGACACCTCAAAGTCTGGAACTAAACACCAAATGAAGCTACTAATAAAGCCAACAGAAACTTCTGAGAGTTGAGAATTAATTTAACCAAACTATGCTCCTGGCACCAGTGTAACCCAACATGCACAAAAGCTTTTGCAGTTACTGAACAGAGCACCACTCTGGGCTACCTGCACTTTTATCATGGGGCACTTCTTTGGGGTTGGTTCCTGAACCTGTTCAGATTTACCCAGACTTCAGGATGCCCTGTCAAAGGCTGTCAACAGGCAAATTGCCCAGGGCCCAAAGTCATGCTCAACTTAGTGATCACCAAACTTAATCAGAACTGTTCTCTATACAAATTGTGTACCACAGGAAGCACAATTAGGCAGAAAATTCAGGTCAGGATGTTAGACACTTCATAAGCATCCTTAAGAACCTGGGATAGAGGAGTCAAACATGGAGCCTCCAGACACCACACTACAGGCTTGTTAATGCAGCAAGAGAAGAAACAGGAACAGCCTCGGTCTTCTAGAAACCAAGAGTGTACTGACATAAGTAGAGAAACATGCAGTCTTTCTGTTCTTTCTTGAGTTTTGAGGCAGACTCAGTAGAAGGATTTTGCAAAGGTGACAAGATTCAACACAATGAGCAGCTCTCAGGTGAGTCTGGAGCAATATTAGAAGAATCACAGACTGACAGAGTATCTCAAGTTGGAAGGGTTGCCTCACTTATCAACCTGACCCACAGCTGAGTGGACTCCACATCCTAAAGAGCTTCAAGCCAGTTTAACTTTATCAAAACACGGCAGAAGATGATGGGATAATACATTTGTGGTGTACAAAAATCAGACAAGATTTTTCAATTTGAAGGTCTTAGTGCTTGATTTCTTATGTCTGTCCATACAGTTCTGAAAGCCAGCAGTGACTGGCAGCGTGCCAATATACAAAGTAATACATGTTGCAGAGTTATACTTACATTTTTAGCCGTCATGTCAGACAGTATTGCTTTATATTTCGTAAAACCATAAGATATCCCTTTTCATCTTCACAGAATCTTTAAAATGAACATCCTGTAAGAAAGTTAATGAAATATCTTAGGTGAAACCCCACTTTTTGATAAAATCAATCACCACAATAGTCAGGTTCTTCACAGATACTAGAAATGTACATTGCTTGGGACAGGCAGAGATGAAATCCTATACACAGACACCAACTTAAAGAGAGGCCTAATTACATTAATGTGCTAGCAAAGCATGTCATGCCATTACTGAAGCTTTTTAATTAAAACCATGCAATCTTTTGCACCTAATGCAGAGTATGTCTTTATAAAAGGGAAGTGAATTACTTCTCTCCATTGTGTCTTTAGCCACCAACAACAGATAAAGGTTTTAATGAAATGTATATATATGGAAAACATTCAGTATTTTTAGGAAACATGCAAGAAAAAACATTGCTGTTCAAACTCATCTTTTAAATATTTCATTAAATTTGTGTAATTAGAATTATAATATTAGAATTCCAGGAAAAGACAAACATTTTGGTATACTGAAAAGTACTTAAAAGTGACTTATTTTTTAAATGAAAGCTTCCAGAAGTCTTAGAGAGAACAGAAGAAAAGTTACAAATCAATGCTGGCAGCACAAACCATTTTAAAGATAGAATTAACTTGACAAAGTGTTTAAGTACTTCGAAAGTACTTTATAAGTACTACCTGCAGTTAAAAATGAACTATAAAAGACATTTGAATTGCACTTGGATGTGTAAGAGAGAGAGAAATGTTCACACTTTCAAATGTGGAATCAACTCAGTAAAATTAGGAAGATACCTAAACTAGTTACCAAATATGAGTCACAACCATTTACAGCAGAACTCACCACTACAAAAGCAGGGTGAAATTCATGTTACTTCCTCTGTCTTTTAACCTACATGAGGTTTGAGAACAGGCAGTGCCTTCACCTCCTTCGAGGAAAGTGCCAGGAATTGTTCCAGTGTGTGCACAGCTCATGGGGCACTCTACCACCACTTCCCATCACTGCATTACTAGTTTTGGACAGCCCAGAATATTAAATTCTGGGCTGTTTCTATACATGTCTTGGTTTATTCGGCCACCGTATCAATAAAACTTTTAGTGGAAAACCATTTTACTCAACACAGAGGTGTCCTCCATTTCCTGCTGAATGAGTTGTATTTAATCCTTAGTGCCTCCATTTATTGCAGCCGATTAAGCAGTTGCTCCAGCATGTGAACACCACACAATTCTACTAAGATATTCTCCTGTGAAAATTTGTACTTTTCACTTTTACGACAAAACATCCAAGAAAATAAGAATAATTTTTCTCTGACTTCAGAGAAGGTGCTACTGAGAGATATCTATTTACAGCCTGGGGAAAGGGGCCACTGCATCTGTGCAGCAATCCTGAAACCTGAAGAAGAGTCATAGAAAAGCTTCAAGGCTACAGAGGTCATGGAAAAGAGCAAAAGCTGAATTTTTGCATTGCATCTTAAAATTATGATCTTTGTGCTTGTTCTTTTTTCACCTTTCTCATCCTTCCACACAAACTCTCCAAATATATCATCTGGAGCTCTGGCCAAAATTCATGATGCAGTTTGACCTCTCTTTCTTTAAGAGGCTTTACAAGTAATTTACTCAAATAAACCATAGTTAAGAACACATTTGCTAAGCAGTTTTAATCCATTTACATATAAGCAAACCAGGTTCATCTTTAACAAGTTATTTGCTGCCAAGCTTAGTGATCCAGAAGGTATTGTCCATAAACTATTACAGTCCTTCTCCACAATGCTCTTCAGCCAGTATGAACAGTTGGTATTCTTCCAGCTTTATGAACACATTTTGTCAAGCTCGAGAAGCCAGACTTTGTGACCCCACCATCTGCCATGACCTCTTGTCAGGTTCAGACAAAAGAACCGACACAGATGGCCTCAAAATGGAGATTCTCTTCATCCCCAATTGCTGCTTGGGCTTGCACCACACAGATGGAAAAACATAAAACTCGACCTTTTTGTTCTTTAGCTGGTTCCTACTGAAATGAAGCTGCATAAAGACAAGTTCAGAGCCAAAGCACTTGGGACACGAAGATTGCTTTATCTGAACTAAGATTGCCCCGTCATTATCTAAGCCTTGGTTTATAATCCGCTCCCATAATTCTGCCTTTTGGTCCTATATTGCACAGTACAAGGAGCCAACCAAACTGTCTGACTTTGTAAACTTTGACTTGTAGCTTCTTATAGAACATCTGTTTCCTAATTGCTTATGCCAATGACATTAAAAAACCAGTTTGAGCATTAAATTTACAAAAGCCCAGATAATCAAGCTCTAGCTACAACAAAATTGTTGTTCATTTGTACCTATTCTCCTTACAAGTTAAAAGTCAAATCTATTGTAAAGTTTCTGTGATACTGAAGCTGAATCCCAGTGCCAGAAACAAAACAAACCAGAAAATAGTCATCTGCAGAATGACATTACCTTCCTTCTTATGTTTATTTTCTATGGTCCAAAGTCTTATTGTTCAATTGTCCCTATAAGGCACATGTAGTGAGTAAAACCTAATAGTAGAAAAGAATAAAGTTACGTAACAAAACACTCTGCCCTTGAAAATTAAGATTTACCACACTTATCCTGGTTTCTCTTCTCAAATTATCAGTACTTCACAATCAGACCTTCGCATAGACCAGCACCACACCAAGATCCTCCTCAGTGCCAGAGGCCAGTTCACCACATGAAGTGTCATTTTTATGTAAATATTACATCACTACTAAACAGCTACAAATGAAGACAACTGTTGGATAATTACTCGAACTGTTACGACATTAAATCTTCATGGTACACATCAAAAAAGGAGATAGTTTAGGATACTAGAATGATTTTTATCATCAACAAGGAGCACTTTTTTCATTTACTTGATCAAGAGTACTGCAAAATGAAAATTATTCCAAGTAACGGGTCAGCTAAGAGGAAAGTGTGATCAGTTTCAAGAAAAAGAAACTTGCATTCCACTAGAGATTAATTTATATTCTTCACACCCCTCTCCATAGTACTGACTTCCAAGCTATGGTACTACAAGGCTGATTTCAGAAGACAGCGGTAACAAAAAGATTCCTTATTAATCAGTACAGGCTCAGCGTTAAACCACTAATTTATGCACAGCATCTACATGGCTTAGACCACCTGTTACACATATGCTGCTTCTTTGTCTCAGTTTTCTGACCAGTAGAATTTCAAAATTATGAAGTACTTATCAGAACTCCACCTGCTCCCAGGAAGCGTTTCCCTATCTTGTTCCTAAAAAAAAATTTCAATATCTACCTCCTTTTTGAAGAAATTGAGATTAAAAAAAGACCAATTTTAGTGAAAGTATCTGTATGTACAAGTAAGATTCATTTCTTGGTATCCCACGCAACAGAAATGTAACTTTGTTAGCAAATTTCTGGAATTTAAATTACAGATTTTGTATCCATATAAGAAAATTCCATTGATCTGCCAACTTTTTTTCTGAGTCCTCTTCAGATGACTTAGTCCCAGTTTTATCCTTCATATACACATACAAGAAATAAACTCAGCCTACAAACTGCAAAAGGCAGGAATACCACGTAACATCCAGCTTGTCACTTCATGAAGCACTTCAAAAAGGAGTATATTCAACGAGTCACACACAGAGTGGGAAATAAGTCACCACCTTCAGCTATCACACAGTAATTTGTATTTTGAAAACAATGGTAGAAAGTAGCTCTTAGGAAGCATTTGAAAGGAACTCCCACCATGATGTATATGATGGAGGAACTGCAGGTGTAACTTCTTTTTCCAGCTTTTACTGTGAGCAACGGTATGCCTTCAGAAAGTCCCAGGAGATAACAGACAAGGTGATCAGAGAGACTCAACAAAGGAAAACTAAGGGACTTGACCACTAAATGATATTAGAAGTTTTTAACAAAATAAAATAATTTGAGAAGAGTAGTGAGTTTAAAAGCTTCATTTAATCACTTTTATTTGACTTAAAAGGCTGCAGCCTATGAATCCAAAGTTTTCCCTCCTACAAGACACGAAAATGAAATGAGAATGGCTGCCTTAAACCAAGGTGCAAATGGAAGATAAAACTACCTGAACCTAATTTGAAAGCAAAGATCTCACCATGTAGTTGAGACTGAGCAAAATCCCAACGTGTCATCAGAACAAATCAACTGGCACCTGACAACAGCAGTAATTATGACTCAAGTTTACACAGCACAAAGAACTTGGAAACACAGCCAAGGCCTACCACACAAGTTCAATGAGTATAAACCATAGCACTTCAGTGGTATAATGAACAGCCACCACCCAGTGTGGTTTGCCCAAAGCACGTCAGGGGAAATGCCCCTTTAAGGACTTCATGCAGCACATCCCGGGGCACCAAATTAATTGGATCATGGTCAGTACTCTCAGACTCGATCCCAAATGCTACAGCCCCACTACTCCCACCACTTGCTGTATTTACTCTCACTGTTGTACTTATTACATGACTAGCAACGTACATATTATATGCAGATGTATGTATTACGTGACTATGTTGTACAGATATACGTGACTGCCACAAGCACCACTGATGGAGGTTACTGAGTATCTTGAATCCCAGGGATGAAGACAGGTCTGAGTGGATGCACACGTGACAAGGACACACAACACAGGGATAAAATCCAAAGCTGGATTCAAACTCTTCCTTAGTTGCAAGTGCCCAAAGTCTCCATGCACTGAACTGCACTGCTGAGCCTCAAGTTCTGCTGCTTGTCCAGTCCTGACAGTGCCGAGTCCCAGATCCCAGTAACCTAGAACTGGATACTCCTGCCCTCAAGTGACTTAGTTTCTTAGGCATGTTCTCAGACACGCTCAATGTCATGCCAGTACTAGCAGTAAACTTTATGTCTAAGAATAGGAGCAGCACTCATGGCTTATGTCAAAATCAATGAGGTGAAGCATGTCCCCTATTGCCCAAATAAGGAGAACATTACATTAAACATGTGGTATAATTCCCAAGTACTTGAACCTTTGAAGGCTCTTTTAATTCCCCAAACCAGCTTA